ATGATTGTTATTTTTTGAATTTTTAGAGTGGGATGGCATGAGAGATGAAGGTGATGGGACTCAAGTAAAAGGGGTAGTTTATGGTTTAAGAATGAATGATTGTTCGATTAATAATTATTCTTGGATGACATATGATGATCGAGCGATAAGTGAAGAGTATAAAAAAATAATATCAATAAAACATTTAATGATGCTAATATAACTTAACCAATACGATATGAAAATAATAATGGAGTGACAAAAATTTAATCTCATAAAATTGAGTGAAGAACGATGGTAAAAAAATTGTTTTCGTTTCTTGAGACTTTGGGTTCAAATACAATGAATACCAGGGATATAAGTATTTAATGTCGAAGGAAGATTTGAGAGTTATTATTGAACGTATATTACCTTATATTTATCTTAGATTAATCGAAATTGAGTGAACAATTAAACTTTTTTAAGAATTAATAATCAAAATAAGAGTGAGGTAATAGTTGGTTTGCTGTTTGATGGTTTACCCATTTAAAATTAGACGTATGGTGAATTTGACTTTTTTTATTAAGCTAAGATGAGTACGAAGTAGTATATATTCTAAATATTCTCAATCATTTAACGATGAACGTTCAATCATCCTAGTTATATGTCATCGTAGTTGTTGCAGATTCACCGTCGGAATCGTGATTTTCATCCTAAGGTTCGTTGGATTTAAAACATCGATTTGTCGTCGATCGATCGTCAACCGATTACGATTTCATAGCGATTTTGGTTTTCGGGGGGAGGCGAGGTCAGGTGGAGCTTCTTCAATAGCAAAGGGCGGCAATCTGCGTGAGTTTAGGGGTTGAAATGAAGATTTTCAAAGTTTAAGGGTTATTTCGAAATTTATGTGTGTTTTTTTAAAATATATAATTTTATATTTTAAAATTACCAAATTGTGAGACGTGTCACTATGGGGGAAAACTAACGTAGTTAACGGCCCAGACACCTAAATGGATAACATTTGTAATGTTATGCACATGAATAGACAAAAAAAAATAACGTAGTCACTTATTCGGCACAAAAGATATAATTTGAGCCCTTACTTGGGCATTAAGCCCAAAACGTTTGCCCTAATTAGGCCCTCACAAATAAATTTCTTTATATATCTAGCTTTACTCTTCGGACAGCCGCTCTCCTCTCAACTTCACAGCTATTGACGCATCGAACCAGTGAGTATAACTGATTATACTAGTTTCGTTTTCATCTCTTGCTTTGATTCTGCTGAATTTTCTTTAATGCTGAGCTCTTTGACTTCGATTCCTTTTGGGGATTTCGTTTTGTTTGTTTGTTCGTTTATAATTATGCACCATTTGTTTGAAAGAACATTTCGCTGGTCTCGATTTGATTTCTAAATTGGAAATGATCGTTAGTGTTTTTGCTTGTTCAATGATTTCATCTGATCTGATTTATATTTCTCAGATCCATTCAAGATGAACAACTATTGTGATTTTAGCGTTCACCTTCAACAGAAAAGATTCCGGTAATTAGTTTCCGGTAACTAGTTAGAGGCTAAATGAAAAGACACAGATAACACAGCAGAGAGAATGTGTTTTTTGCTAGGAACTTGATTTTCTGGTACTTGATTGTGCCTTTTCTTTTAGCTTCTGATAAGTCATCGGAATCTAATTTGTGGTTTCTTTTCTTGCTACCTGATCTCGCTTCTAATGTTTCACTCTGCTTCCCTTCAAAAGCCTTTCTCTCGAAAAAAAATTCAAATCAATGTTGACATATCCAGGTACACTAAACTCAGGTTTCCCTCTTGAAATTCTATTCTTGATTAGCCCTACATTCATTTCATGTGGCTAAAAATTTTGGTTTGATTGCCTTTTTGCAGATATTGCATTTTGATCTTCACCATTAAAGATCAATCTTTGAATCTTCAAATGTTCTAGCCTAGTTTCTAACTGTATTCTTTTTTGCAGATATTTCATTTGGTTAGCAATGTTTCTTTAGTTTTATTGGATTTTTTTATTAGAAAATTTGACATTGAATTCTCTTCTTCAGTTCTCCTGAGAGAGTGCAGTGGAGGATCTATTGTAGCAGGGCTTATAGCCCTTGGTGATCACTGATTATGCTTCAACCGTTATGTGCTTAGCCGTGTTTTTCTTGGCATTGGTATCGGATTTATAAATCAGGTATTATAGTCTATCCTCAATTCTTTTGAGTGAGTACAGTGGAAGATCTATAGTTTCTTCTGCTTGAGATTACTCCTTGCCATGTAATTTACTCCATTTTTTGGTAATTTCTCATGCTCTAATTTATGTGCTGCAGAGTGCAGATGCTCTTGTTATCGAGTTCAATTCTTCATTTCCTATCAGAGTTTGTATTGTATATTAATTAATAATTACCCTTCATTTTTTATCTGTTTACAGTCAAGATTGTAGCATGTTAAGCTTTTTAGCAATGCAGCATTAGCATCTTCTTTCGGTAAAGATAAGATAAAACCAGCGCATGCTTTTATGCTTGTACACAGTTTTTGTGAAAGTTTATCTATCACTCTCAATCTCGTTCGCATGAATGTCGGTATCTTGTCATTGAGAGTGCACATTGTGCCCTACCACCCACTTATTGGAGCAAAGAGTTGGCAAGTGCAATTTGTTGATAATCTGTTGAAAACGAATTTGCTTGCCTATTTAGCTTACTAAAAAATTGTTGTGATGAAACTAGAACTCATCAAGCAGCCTGGAGTGTTATTCTCTCAAGAGGTTCCGGTTTGAGCATGACGTCTACAAAGTGCATGAGCGTTCATTGTCAATTGGTTGAAAGTATTTCGTACGTATACTACCTTGTAAGTAGACTATTATTTCCCGAGTTCTAATTCTATAAGTAATTAGACTATCCTTTCCTGAGTCCTAATTCTAGAAATTTCTGATTTGCCTTTTCTTATGCAACACGTTCTTTCATGAAATTGATATTATTTTGCTCAAGGTTTGGAGTTCGGGTCTCAATATCCATTACTTCTCTATTTGCTCCATAGATTCAAGAACATGTGGTTGAGACTACCTTGGTCAGTTCGATTCAAATTTAGATGTTTTTGTCGATTTTTCTTGTTATGCAGTCGGTTCTATGGAATTTTTTTGTTTGGTTATAATTTTTTTGTATTTTTAAATTAATTTGACCAAGAAAATCGATCTATATATAAAATTTATAAATATATATGCAGTCGGCAAATCTTCCCAACACATCAAAGAGATGGAAGATTTGCCGGTGGAGAATGTGGATTTAGATGTGTTGGTAAAATGGGGGGTGACGCTAACAAACCGAACAAACAAGATTTGTTTAACTTTAACCGAACAAATGAATGAACACAATTTCTTATTTGTGTTTATTCGCTAAGGAATGTGGCTTGATTATGATGGAAGATTTGCCTGTGGAGAATGTGGATTTAAATGTGTTGGTAAAATAGGGTTAATGCTGACAAGCCGAACAAACAAAAATATAATATATTTATGTTCTTTTGTTTAACTTTAATCGAACAAATAAACAAACATAATTTTTCGTTCGTGTTTATTCGTTAAGGGATGTAGCTTGTTTGTATTCGTTTATGTTCATTCATTTAAATGATAAACGAACACAAACGAATGAGCATATGTAAACAAATATAATAAATAAACGTAAACAAACACAATAAATAAACATAAACGAACACAATAAATGAAAATAAATTATTTAAGTTTTAAATGTGTATGGTTTACATTTTCTTTAACTGATTTGAGTTTAAAATTGTTTGGGTTTTAAAATATTTTAAAATATTAATGATTGAGTCTTAATATTTTAAATGGGTATGAAGATTAGACTGAATATAAACGAACATACACGGACATAAATGAATGAATATAACGAATGAACATATACGGATATAAATGAATGAATATAACGAATGAACATATACTGACATAAATGAACGAACATAAACGAACGGATTACCGAATGTTCACGAATGTAAATAAACGAACGAGACTTTTGTTTGTGTTCATTCATTTAATTAAACGAACACAAAATTTTGTTCATGTTCGTTCTCTTAATAAATAAACAAACATAAGTGAACTTCACGCCAAATGATTCGTTGAATGTTCGATTCGTTTACAGTCCTAAGTATGCTGCTAAGGAATTCGGCTTTCGAGTGGGATTTGCTGATAATCTGTTGAAGAAGAATTTTCTTGCCTACTTGGCTTACTCAACAATTGCGCATTACAGTGAAACAGAATAGCTTGGAAATGAATGCAATGGTTGTGGCTCAGAGGGTGTTTTGCTGTCATGAGTCATGACTTCTCTGGTTCCTGCATTTACTTTTCTCTGTTTGAATCGGTTTAGGGTTCAGGGTTTATGGTTTAAAATGGGCAAAACTTCAACCATTGGTTAGTTTGGTTTGAGTTGAGATGGTTTGGTCCATTTTTCTTGTTGTGGAGTCGGTTTTATGGATTATTTTGTCTGGTTTTTGTAAATATATTTAACATGATTAACCGACCGAACCAACTGAATTTATCAGGTCGGTTTTCGTAGATTATCGTGTGACAAGGCGGTCATACGGTATGACTCATACCGGTGGTACGAGGACGACAATGCCTAACTCGATCTGCTTCGATATCTTGGTCCTCTTCCTCCACAATGACGGCAACAATAAAAGTAGTCATACCAGTGGTATGACAATGCCTAATTCAAACCCGTAAATACGAGTATTAAACCGAAACCGAATGATTTGGACCAGACGTGGTCCAAACTTGACATTATCATAACCCAAACCTGAATGACTTGAATTTTTTAAAATTTTGAATTGATTTTATTCAATTTAATCCGATCTAAAATCAACCCGAACCACCAACCTAATTACGGGTACCGTAACGCCAAGGCTGAGTTTGTTGATTCCTTAAAAGACCGATGAATATCAACTGTGAAAAGCAATGAAGATCTAACTAAAAATAAGGCTGTTACTACTAGCTAAAAGCCTCAAACATTAAAGCAGATCAGTTTAAACTGAAACCCTAAAGATTAAACTGACGGAATATTACAATTAGATTCCGGAAATCCCATCAGCATTAGCAATATTTGACCCCGGTTGAGATGTAGTTGATGCAAGGCCACCAGGACTCCGGCATGCCAAAGGCGTGGTAGGGGTCCGTGGTGTTCTTGGAGACCAGAGAGGGGAAGGGGTTTCAGTTCTCGGAGATAGGTTGACAAACTCTAGTGCTTGTTGTCTCAGTTCTACGGGATAATCCACGATGCAGCCGATCCTTGGTCCTGCTCCGGTCGACCATTTGAGGGACAGTTGATGTCCTAATTGGTACGATTTAGCTGCCTTCTTGGAGTTGATCCTCTGCAATATGGCTTTTTCGGGCACCTCGACTCTCGGGCTTTGGAGACCACCGGATAAAGACCTTTTGTAAGTGTTTGTGGTCTTGGTTTGATTAGTTCCAGATGATTCGGAGGACAAGTTCTTTGATGTGTCATCGATTTCAGGTTCGGTTGGCACTGTGCTTATCGAGAATTCAATCGGTTTACCAACACTGCTGGCTTTTCCGTCATCATAGATATCGGAGTCATCAGTTGCTCGGCGTATCTGAACATTTGTACAACACAATCATCACTTCCCTCGTTGAAACATCGAAATTTCAGTTCGACTATTGCAGAAGAGAAAACAGATGGATCGAAAGATACCTCAACTTCATCGAGGTCCACTCCGTTCTCCTTCAAAATCGATAAGAAACTATCGAGACTATCATCGGTCGGCCGGTAATGTCCACTATATGCAGAAATTGACTGAAAAATGAAGGAATGTATCAGAACTTCAACGACATTGCCAATTAGCTGCAACGACTAACTATGGATACAAATTTGAATAACAATCCATTCATTAAAACGGAACCGATATCGAATTATAAATCACAATCACATAATGAACCGATACCTTAAGAACTCCATGCTCCGCCACCAGCCTACCAGCTGCTAATGTTGCTCCTCCGGCCAAGAAACTCGAATGATGAAACATTCCTTTCTTCTTCTGCAAGTTACAACAAAAAGGCGGTTTTTAAGTTTTCCAATACTTTCCACAAAGCAGCACAAGCGATTTCCGTTCGGATTTAAACCGTTTACCTTGCCGGCGTACAATTTCTTCGAGGTGCTCATAACGAATATCCATTTCCCCTCTTTCAATCCTTTGATCGTATCGAGTTCATTCCCGGTTAGTTTATGGATGATCTTTCCTTCAACAACAACGTACTCATAATTTACCCTCTCTTGCTGTTTCCCCAACCAAAACACAAGAAACGCATTAGGATACCAGAAACATATAAGATCGAACCGAACAATACGAAGGTACATACAGGTCCAAGATACGTGATGCATTGATGTCGGAGCTTCGATCTCGGGCACTCGTCGAGATTAATATCTTTGCCGGGCCCTACATCCAACCTGGAAAACAACACAAAAATCAGAAACTCAGCAAGCAATTCAACTGCTTCAGCAACCCTTTCCTCCATCGGGACATTTTGAGCTTGTAGCTAAAATACCCTTATTCGACACCCGAACCCCACGAACAACTAGCTGCTCAAGCAACCCTTTCCTCCATCGGAATATTTCAAGCCCGTGACTATATTTCTCCAACTCTTCGTTTTTCGTTAACTACCCTTGTCCAACACATGTATCCTACAAATATCGTACTCATACATATGCGACTTGTATACGTATGCTTATACGACAATCACTCGAGTTCGAGTAACCGATGTCGAACGTTGAAGTTGGACTTACCAGTAGAAAAATGGTTGACCAGCATCAGTTTTGCACCACTCTTCGTAGTAGATATGCAAATTATGCCCGTATCGATGGCGTGGATCAATCTACATTTCACGAAGAAAAAAAATAAACTTTCATTCCAAATAAAAATTTAGGGTAAACTATGCAAATAGTCCCTTATGTTTAGGGGCTGTCCAACTTTGGTCACCAATTTAAAAATTAAGGAGAAATGATCCCTAATATTTTCAATCCGTTCAATTTTAGTTCCTCGACCATTAATTTTCGTTATATCCTTTTGTTTAAGTAAGGGACTAAAATCAAACAGATCGATAATATTAGATACTAAAATCGAACTAATCGATAACATTAAGGACCGTTCCACTTAATTTTTAAATTTATAACCAAAATCGGTCCGACCGAAAACATAGGAGACTATCTGCATAGTTTACCCCAAAATGTAAAATGAATTTTTGATTTAAGAAAAATTACAGCTTCAATCCAGTGCTGAAAAGCCAATTTCTGAGCTTTAGCGTCTTCGGACAATCCCTTTCCGATCTAAACAAAATATAAAAAAATTAAATATAACCATCGATATTCAAACTATTAAATAATTAATGCGAATTGAATATCGTAAAATTACCTTGGAAGCATTTAGGAGAACACGGTTCCACCTTGAAGCAGCAGTTTCAGGTTTCAAATCATTGAAAAACGAAATCGTGCTGCGCTTAAGCCTTGCATAATCCAATACCTGCCACCTGAAATTTTATTTTTTTAAAAATGATAAGTAATAACTATAATTGTTCTAAATAAATACAAAATATTTAACTTTTTTTAAGGAAAAAGACGAGCAAACTATCCGGATAGTCCTCTGTGTTTTTTGACTGATCGATTTGGTCACCAATTTTAAAATTAAGGGACATGATCGATAATGTTATTGATCCTTTTAATTTTAGTCCATAACATTATTGATCCGTTCGATTTTTGTATCTTAGCCGTTAACTCCTATTTGATTTTAGTTCCTCAGCAATTTTAGGGACTTAAACAAAGGGAGATTATAGGAAATGAACTGAAGAGTGACTAAAATCGAACGAATCAATAATATTAGGATGATTTCCTCTTAATTTTTAAATTTTTTAAATTGGTGAACAAAGTTGGGCAAACCAAAAACATAGGGACTTTACGCATAGTTTGCCCTAAAGACAACGCGAAAGACAGATTCTCTGTACTTACCAGAGTTCTTCAGCGACAACAGCGGAATCTGCTAACCTACGCCGTGTCCGGTAACTCCGATACACCTTCTGCACCTTAACCGCCGCGTTCGTCTCCAGGAAAACCCCGCCCCCGTGATTCCCAGCCTGAGAATATCCACCGTCGATCGACGGCGACGGCATTTTGAGTCCACCGCTGTTGTTATTCGTATTCCCGGAATCCGATTCGCTAGCTTCTTTCGGACTATCCACTGAGAAAAAACTGGACCGTTCGGATCCCCGAGAAAGCCCGGCGCTCTCGTAGAACGGAGGCTTGGAGTTAACATCGAAGGTTAAAACAGCTGTTTGAGTCTCGATGACTTCCATTGTTGTTGGTTCGGTCAAAGGAAATTATTTTAAGCCAAACAAGGTTTTTTTCTCGAAAAATTATGTGGAAAAGGAAAATGTTTGATCGTTTGGTGAAGAAAGAAGTGAGAGTAGAGAGTATAAATAGCAGAGAGAGAAAGGTTTTAGAAAATCCCCCGGGAAACTCCCGTGTCAATTTCCTCGTATCCCACTCGGTATTTGTTTAATCAAGTGCATGCTTCACGCGCCATTGTTGAAAGTGGGGTTTTTAGGTGTGCACATCACTTGTAGTGAGACAAACAACCTCATTTCTAAGTTTATTGTTTAATGGGTAAACTAAAAATTTTGCAGATGTACTTTAAATCATTTCATTTTTCTCACTAAACTTAATACATTAGATTTTTTTGTCATTCAGTCGATTCCTTACTAACGGAGTTATGACGTGGTATTTTTGTTGTTAACGGAGGAGTGACAAAAAAAAATCTAATACATAAAGTTTAGTGATTAAATTGAAAATAATTAAAAGTATAGTGAGTGAAATAAAAAAAAAGAGTAAAATTCAATTATTAAATTTTTATTTTGCTGATTAAAAATAAAAGAAAAAAAATCATATTATAAGATCGTTAGTCAAGAAACGCTTGAATGACCAAAAAATCAAATGTATTAAGTTCGGTAAGTAAATTAAAATACTTTAAAATACAATTAACAAAATAAGAGAAAGAATAAAATTCAATTACACAGTCTTTTACCTTAGCCTTACAATAAATTTCATCACTCGTTTTTCGTTGCACTCTTATTTTCATCATTAAATTTAAATAATATATTTATTTTTATTTTAATCAATTGAATATTAAACCGTTAATAAAAATATGACATAAAAGTCACGTATATTGATTTGAACTACTTTTTCATTATTTCTTATAAATTTTGGGTTGGATTTATGCTTTAATGGAAAATACTTTTTGTAGTTTATTTACTATATTTATGATAATTTTTTTTAATATATATATATAATATTCAAATAAAATATTGATTGGAAATTGAATATAAAATGAATAAATTTGTATACAAAATATTTATTATGTGATTGATAATTATCTATTAAATAAGTTTTAAATATATATTTTATTTAGAATATTCTCTTCATTCTTGTTATATGTAAAAGTAATTAACTAAATTGAAGTAGAATTAATTCAGATATAAAACTCAACCCTCTTATTTTAATATATTTTATTTAAAAAAAATTATATCATATATATTTATTGTGCTTTGAGTTTTGATTTGGTAACTTAATTGCCTTTTACCATTGAAGAAATGGGAAAGGGAAAATACGTGCATGAGTGCATCACGTTGTTAAAATATTGCTTTTGGGTAAATTACTCAGTTAGTATCTAAACTATCAGCTTTAGTCTGTTTTAGTACCTAAACTTTTATTTTTTTAAAAATCATACTTAAAGTTTAGTTTTTGTTTCAGTTTAGTACCCCTATTCAAAATTCAACGCTATTTTTTTGAAGAAAATAAATGAACATTTAGGTACTAAGACGGGCCAAAACTGATAGTTGAAGTACGAAACACGTTAAGCTTTTAACGGCATGGTGCTAAAATAAAACAAACCTATACATTAGATATGATTTTAAAAAATTAAAAATTAAGGTACTAAAAAACGTTAAAACTAACAGTGTAGATACTAAATGTGTAGTTTACCTATTGTTTTTTATAAATTAAGAAATTTTTGATCTTGTAGTGAGAGTTGAAAGTAAATGTGGAAAATATCGAAGTTTTCGAGTCTCTTTATGAGATTTTCCTTTTTTCTGGAAAAATCAATATTAGAAAAAAATAAGATATTATAAAACTACATAAAATATTTATAACAAATTGTATATAAAAATAGGATAAATTACAAATTATACGTAAAAACACGGGAAATAAAAAATATAATAATCACCAACAACCAGTTAATCTAGTGAGATGAGGCAAATACTAGGTCTCTTATGTAAAGGTCAGAAGTTTAAATCCTGACGTTTGTGAATGGAGCAAACTGAGTTGGGAGGGTCGCCATCGCTTTTATAGTATCCGATTTGAATTAGTCGATCAATAGATCAGAAATCAATATTTAATTCAATATATATATATATATATATAATAATAATAATGATAATAATAATCTTTTTGTCAAATATATTGTATCGTAAATTTTTCATACGAGATTTAGAAAAATGGAGTGACGGTCTCTAGTAGATAAAAGAATATGCCCCTAAAGAAAAGCAATGGAGATTTTATTTCACTTTGTTGTTCTGTCAATGTTTTTGTTTTCTTTTTAATATGAAGAGAATAATGGAACTTTAATAGAATACCGAAAGTGTTTTATTTCAAATTCTGCTGTGTGTTTATAGATAGACGGTGTTAATTATTTTTTAGTTTATATAACCCGGATTATAAATTTTAGGGTAAAGTATAAAAACGGTCCCCCGACTATAAGATATTACTTTTTTGAGTCTCTTAACTATTAAAATTAACAAAATGGTCCCCCAACTATAGAAAGTTGCTTCATTGAGTCCCTCGACTATTAAAAGTTACAAAATATTTATTTATATATCTCATAATTTAATATTTAAAATTTAGGGTAAAGTATACAAATGGTCCCTTAACTATAGGATATTGCTTTATTGAATCCCTTGACTATTAAAAGTAACAAAATGGTCCCCTAACTATAGAAAGTTGTTTCATTAAGTCCATCGACTATTAAAAGTTACAAAATAGTCACTCGACTATTCATTATATTTCAAACTCGTCCTTTTCCATTAAAAAAATTAATGATCGCATGAGCTGAACTTTAACATGTTGACTGAGATATGATAGTTATTTGAGATTATGAGATCAAATTTTAGTATATCTCAGTCAGCAGGTTAATATACAGCTCTCTGACTACCGTCAAAATCTTAATGAAAAATGACAAGTTTGGAATATAATGAATAATAGAGTGACTATTTTGTAACTTTTAATAGTCAAGGGACTCAACAAAGCAACTTCCTATAGTCGAGAACCATTTTGTAACTTTTATTAGTTGGGTGACTCAATAAAGCAATATCCTATAGTCGAGGGACCATTTGTATACTTTACCCTAAATTTTAAATATTAAATTATTAGATATATGAATAAATATTATGGTAAATTACGTGTTTAGAACCTAAACTATCAGTTTTGATTCGTTTTAGTACCTAAACTTTTAATTTTTTTCAAAACTATACCTAAAGTTCAGTTTTTGTTTTATTTTAGCACTTTCGTTCAAAATTTAACATTAAGTTTTGAAAAAATTGAAAGTTTAAGTACTAAATGGACAAAAATTGATAGTTTAGGTACTAAGCAAGTTAAGTTTTTAATAGTGGGGTACTAAAATGAAACAAAAACTAAATATTAGGTATATTGTTTTTAAAAATTAAAAATTTAGGTACTAAAATAAATTAAAACCAATAATTTAGGTATTAAATGCATAATTTATCCTAAAATTATGAGATCATAATTGAAAAGTATCAGAACTTTTCTCACTCTGTACTTAGCTTTGTGTCTGATTTATACCTATTAATAAAGAAAAACACACATTTTTATGTCAAGTGTGTGAACTTCTATGAAATTATATTAAAAATTTAAAGGATGTAAAGTTATAAAATTTTAAAGACACAAAATTATATCAACAATAAAAATTACATAAAAAATTAAATTATATGATAATTTGAATTCATTGAGAATATGATTATCCCTTCCATCTAAGGACACGGGATCGAAACCTGACGGGTTTCGACTCGACCTAATAGATTTAGATTTTTATTAAAAAAATCATGTTCGAATTGGGTTTTTTTAAAGTTATGTTCGGGTTGGGCCGGTTCTGATTTATGGTGAAAACTATATGGGCTGACCCGACCAAATAAACTGTAATTTTACTTTATATATTTAGGGATAATTATAATAATATCTCTCTATGTATTATTTTTTTTCAATTACTTATTTGTATTGAATAAAAAAAATATTTTTAATAAATATATTATTTCGGATCGGGTCAGTTCATATTTTATTTCAAAAAATCAAATCAAAGATCAAATAAAAAATGTATATTTTTGGGTCGGAATTCGGTCGGATTAACCAAAAATCCGACCCATACCTACAGTTCCACCACCCTGCATATTAACATTTTCGTTAATTTGTATAAAACATTGCCACAATTAATTCAAGTAAAAAACAACAAATGCAAGATCCCAAGCAAAGTCATCATAACAATTTATATTAATAATATTTTTTTCATAACATTGTTTCTTTTTTGGGGTCAGAGACATGATTTTAATGTTTGTTATGTGATGATTAATAGTAAGTCAAAGAAATTGAATTTGGAGGTACCAAATATTGAATTTGTAAGTCTTTGAATGGATCGTGCTCCCTCTAACTTTAATAAAGCCGAGTTGACCTATTACGTAACTTCAAAATTTTGGAAATTCATTTACATTTTGTACAGCTTATGTTTTTTTATAACTACTAATATTTAGTTTATTAATCGATTAATTCGAATCGGATACTATAAAGACTAATAATCTTCTCAACCTAGTTTGTTATTTAATTTATTGATCGACTAATTAAAATTAGGTGTTACAAAGAAAAGTGTGATTCTTCCAACCTGGTTTGCTCCATTTGCAAATACCGAAATTTTAACTCCCGACTTTATTTAAGGAATCTAGTGTCTCATTTAGCTAAACCATCTTATTGTTGATATAACTTATGTTTTTTATTTAATGTTTCGCAACAAAAATAATATCATTAGGATAAATTACATCACATGTCACTCAATTGTTATCAAGATCATAGATGTATCACTTAATTTCAAAAGGTTACAAAATGAGTCATCTAATTAATCGATTTCAAAAAGTCACAAACGAGTCACTCAATTAGTCAAAAAGAAATCATTTTGGGTTTTGGGTATCTCGAAAATTAGGGTTTCATTTGACAATCTAAACGATAGAGATTGTATCCCAAAATGGAGGTCTTCCAATGGAGGATGGCGTAACTTACGTTCAAGAAGTCTAAAAGTTATGGGTGATTTAATATTTTTTGAGAGAGATTTTTTAAAATATAATATGATGAATTAAACAAGGGCATCGAGTTGAATATTAAGGTAAAATAATTTATGGTTCATCGACCATCGTATACGATAGTCAAGACATGAACACCTGACTTGATTGTAACTCTTTTAATATAATACTCCTATCTCAATAAATTTATCACTTTTATGTTTTTAAATTATATCCCATTTAAATAGTCTCTTTGAAAAATTCAATAACTATAAAGAGTCATATTTTCTTTTCTATCCTTTTTAGTTTCTAGTGAAAAAAATAAAATTTAACTTTGAATGACAATCATTTTTGAATTATTTTACATCACACTGGGCAAAAGGAGTAATTTTTTTAATGAATAAAAAAGGGTAAACTATGTGAATGGTCTCTTTTGTTTAGGGTATGATCGACTTTAGCCGCTAATTTAAAAATTAAGGGTAAATAATCCATAACATTATTGGTCCGTCTAATTTAAATCCCTCTGCCATTAACTTATGTTAACTCCCTTTTTGTTTAAGTCCCTAATACGGCTGAGGGACTAAAATCCAACTGGAGTTAACGGTTGATGGACTAAAATCATACGAATCAATAATGTTAGAGACTAAAATGAATGGATCGATAATGTTAAGGATATTTTCCCTTAATTTTTAAATTGATAATCAAAGTTAGTCAAATAAAAAACATAGTAGTTTACCAGTAAAAAAATTCATGTAAAAGATTATCTATTATTTAACGATTTCATGACATATTTATAATAATCGATTAATGAAATGACTCGTTAGTAGTTCTTTTTAATTTGGATGACTCGTTTGTAAACATGTTGATAATTGAATGATTTTGTGGTGTAATTTACACATAATATTATTCAACTTTTACATATATATATATATTTACTCATCTTTTTTCTCATAATAATAATAATATAAACGTAAATTATACGTAAAGTTTAAATTAAACAAATGCGAAGCATGAGAAATGCGTTTCTTCAATTATCTTTGCATTTAGTGTTTGTTGTGTTTTATCATGTGCACTTATTTTTATTTATTTTTATTTTTCACAATTATTACAAGTAACGAATGTTTGTCGTGGCTTTTTAAATGCACTTTTAACTAAAAAGTCCATTTTGAAAAAAATTCTAAACCAGTAAAAAATAAAAAAAAATAGCGATATAAATAGTGGTTTCAAACTAACCGCAAGAGTTAGGATTTGTAGTTTTTCTATTTTCGACTTTGGAAACAAATTATGCTTTTACATTTTATTTTAATAATTTAATATTAACAACCTTAAAGATAATTTATTTTAATCATTTAAAAGTAAATAAAATTCATGGTTTATATATTGAAATATTAATAGTGAGTTTTTATAAAATATATTTTTATTATAATTTAAGTGATATAATTTTTAGATCATATTATTAATAAGGGTAAACATAATTCAAATTCTATATTTTTAATAGACATTTTATATTTTCAAACTTCCTTTTCAATAATAATCTCAAATGGTTAACTTTAGTACACCATCTTCTTTATAAAGAAATAACAACTGTTGGGGAAATTTTGAAAGTTTACTGCTGAGATTGGCTTCTTTTTTTGGGACAGCCAAGATTTCAGTTGACAGCAACTCCAGTAGAAAGGAAGTTGGGAAGACGGGCATCTTGGCCGGACATTTTAGCATTTGAGAGCTTGATAACCTCCATGGCTTCCTCCACTCTGGCCGCCAGCGATTCTGGGGATTCTAGGAGAAGAAGCAGTTCAGAGTTGTCCATCTCTAGAAGCATTCCGGTTATCTTTTGCACCAGATCAGGCTGTAGGCAGGAGAAAACAAAGAGAGGAACATGTTAGGTTAGGAAGTATTCGTGTTCGATAATCATAATCGTATCTCAATATATATGTTCAGGAACATCTGTGTTCATGTTACTTGGTTTTGGATGCGAGTGTCACTGAAGAGTTATGTACTCGTAATCTCGTATAATGAATATGTAATGGATATAAGTGTTGGACATGAATATTTATGTCCAAGTAATTGTCTACATTCCATTATTCCTGAAGTGCTCTAGGCTATGATAATTACCTGGCGCTTGAGAACAAGGGGATAAAGTCGTTCACCGAGTATTGCTTTTTGCTGCTCGGGTGAAGCCGCAGAAAGCATGCTACTCAGCATCTCACTCCCTTGTGTCAAAGCTGAAACAGAGTTCGAACCACCCGGTGCCGCATCAGAGCCTTTGTTCAACTCTCGAGCTCGACCGTTCGGTACATATTTAGCTTGCCCAGTCCACTGCAAAATGAAGAGTCGAACCAACGTAGACTTAAGAATAAATAACAAGTGAATCCATGTAAAAGGGAGAGGGAGAGGGGGAAAAGTTCAACCTGTTGGTTACTTTGATCTTCCGAAGAGTTCACTGTCTGCATCAGCTGTTCTTGCGGTTGAGGCGCGTATGTGAAGGGGTGAGAACCACCATGCAAAAGAGCAGGACCGTTCATCCAAACCCGGTTTGCCCCGATTTGTCTTGGAGCAGTAGGAAACTACGACATAACATAAATAAGTACTCATATATTCGAGGTCATATAGTAGTTTGTACCTAGAATGAGTGCATACCATGGGCAGTGATGGTTGAAAGACTGGTCTGCCTGGTAATGCAAAGCCATTACCCCTCCATCCTGGCCAAAAACTTAAAGGTTGATACATCATCATCCCTGGCCGCGGAGTTACTTGTGAAACAATGCCGGTCGGAGAAGTGTAGTAAAGCTGAGGATATACTCCGGGAAGAATAGCCGTTGAAGGCCCTGCTAATCTGGTCATGCGCTGCGCATGCTGAAGTTGCAATTGTGCTTGTCTATCCTCCTTCCTTTGAGCAATCGCAACATACAGCGGCTTCCGTTGGAAAATATATCCTAAAAGATATACAATTCCGGGACAAAGATCATTCACAAAGAAACTTGAGATGCAAGTCACTAGTGAATAGCTTCCTAAATGATTATAAAAACTTGTTAACTTACCATGGAACATGTCGACAGCTTTAGTGGCCTCCTCCGGAGCAGAGAAACAGACAAATCCAAACCCCTTGCTTATTCCTTTGTCATCTCGCATAAGTTTCACAGAAGTAATTGTACCGCATGGACTAAAAAGGTCTCTCAGCTCATCGTCGGTAACATTGTCATCAATGTTCTTCACATAAACATTTGAAGCCTGAATTTTGGAGAAAGATAAACAATGATGAAAGGAATAAACACAATTAATGATCACGTAGAGAAATGAGCTCGGGCAAAAACTTACTTTATATTTCATGATCTGCTCCTTCCGTAGTTCCTCGAACCGAGTACGCAATATTTGCTCGCGTTCCGCTTTCTTTTGTGCCCTTGCTACATATAGAACCTTAGAACCTGATGGGTACAAGCATGCAAACATACATCAAACTAAGAGTGTTAGGCCTCACTTGGTTCGAATTCTGCCATCAATGAAGGCAAAGTGTTAGAATTATGTTACTTAAACTTGAGTATGCCTACCAAGTTGTGATCCATTCATCGACTCCATTGCCCGCTTGGCATCATCAGGACATTCGAAGTTCACAAAGCCGAAACCTCTCGAGGCACCATTTTTATCCCTTGCTACAGCCAGGGAGACAATTTTCCCAAACTCAGAAAATTTCTCCTGCATAATCTCTTCAGTGACATCTGGATCCAAGTTCTTCACATACAGATTTGTATATTTAACATCAGGACTTGGCAAAACCCTGTCACACTTTTTCATGAATTTCCCAACAAATCTGGGACCAAAAAGACAAGAATTAAACTTCTGAAATAATGGATTTCAATAACAGATAAGTGAAATGAAATTTTTTTAAAGGAAAAATTCATATTACACTTGCTTGTCACCAATCATGGTGTTATCAAGCTTCTCGATTGCAGCAGTTGCAGATTCTTCAGATTCAAATTGAACAAATCCATAACCTTTGCTTTTCCCATCCTCCAAAGTTGCAACTTTGCAGGATATTACATTTCCAAACCTCTGAAACAACTCTTGCAACCCCACACTATCAATTGATTCACTTAGATTCTGAAAAGAAAACATACAATAAATCCAATGAATTTCAGATTTTATCAACTTTTCTTAATTGAGGTAAGTACAAGGAGTATCTGTTCATAGTAAATTCTACACCGTTTGACCACGCTTACATCCCTGATATTCCTGATGCTCTACCCGGGATCTCAAGAAATATTAACATTTTCTTTATTACCAAGGCTCTTGTTCAGATTATATCAGTTAAAAGAACAAAAAGGGTTTGTTTTGTACCTTGACAAACACGTTTCCAACTCCACTCTTTCGTGTATCAGGATCTCGAAGACACCATGCCACCCTTATCATTTTCCCATGAATCAAACTGTGATTCATCTTCTCCATTGCATAGTGTGCTAGTAAAATCATAAAAGAGAAACATGAACCAATGAACCATACATAAAAGTTAATCAAAAAGACTGAATTTTCTTAAAATACTTTTGTCGAACACTTTAGAACATATTGAAAAATCAAACACTAAATAGCAGTGGCGGATCCGAAATATTTTTTAGGGAACGATGTAAAATTTTTGAAGGAGGTAGACATAAATAAATTTTTAAAGGGACATCTTCGATAAAATAGTTTATAATTAAAAAAAAATAGATTTCAGGTGTACACGATAGATTTTTTTTAATTGAATACAATCAATAAAATAGTTAACTGATATAAAAAAAATTCAAAATCCAAAGTGAGCAGGTAAGAGATCAAAGAAAAGCAGTAAAAATAATTAAAAAATTAATTAAAAAAATCTTACGCACCATCCTCAAGAGAACTGAAGTTAACATAGCCGTAACAAAGAGATCTTCCCGTTGATGAATCTCTACAAACACGGACAGATGAAATTCCTTTGAACGCATTGAAAGAATCGAAGAGCGTCCCGTCGGTGGTATCGGGATGCAAATCCCCGACGTACAACGAAACCATCGACGCCGGTAACGTCACCGCCATTGATTTGATCCTCCTCCCGGTAGTTACTCTACTGTATATCAGAAAAGATTCTCTGAATTCCAAACAAAAAAGCTAATGGTTTCCAATGGAAGATTTGAGACTTTTCTAGAAAGCGGCGTTACGTTTTTCGAATTTGATTTCGTTTGCCTTACTTGGAGACTGTGATTAATTAAGAGAAAGTCCAGGGTGTTTTCTTGCATGGGAAGTTCAACTGTAAGGAATGTAATAATAACAGCCAGGTTACATTACCTTACGCGCCTTTTCAGAGCGTTCCCACTACTTTATTTCTTGGGTAAATTATACTAATCATCACTGAATTTTACTTTCTCTCATATTTTACTCATTTTACTTTAAATCCACTTAATTATCTCACTAAACTTAAGACATTTGGTTTTTTTGGTAACTACGTCGTTAAATTGTTAACGGAATTAAAACGAATCTATTTAAAAAAAAAATGAAATTTTCACCAAAACAACGTTGTTTTACATCTATACAACAGTCAATTTATAACGTCCTTAGTGAGAAAACGGTGGAGTGACAAAAAAAACTAAATGTATTAAAGTTTAGTAATAAAATTGAATGGATTTAAAGGACAATAGGTGAAATATGAGATAGAGTAAAATTCATTGATGATTGGTGTAATTTACCCTTATTATTTTTGTTTATTATTAGGGAGGGGTGTAAATGAGACGAAACAGATCGTGAGCTATTCGAGGTTGACTCGATCAAAGCTTGATAAATACTCGATTCGAATGGACTTAACTCGAGCTCGACTCGAGTTTGTAACAAGCTGAAACGAACTATTTGATAATCGACTCAAAAACTCACAAGTTACTCGAAAATATAATATATTAAGATTTTATTTTTTAAGAAAGTTATATTACTAATAATATTAACATTTATGTGTTGATTTTTTAAAACTGTAATATAAGATTTTTATATATTTAAGGTTCAGGTTCGAGGTTGAGTTTGAGTTTGAGCTTCAATCGAATTAAATTTAAGTTATTTTTTTCCATTTCAAGCTTTTATGAGCTTCAATTCATGGATTCGAGTTTGAGTTGAACATGAAATTTTAGGTTCGCGAGTTTTCGAGCCGAGCCGAGTCGAGCTCCATTTTAGAGTTTTCGAGTCGAGTTGAGCTCGAGTAGTATTGAGCTCGACTCAGCTCCTTTACAGCCCTATTATTGGGTAAAGTATACATAGGTCACTGAACTATACTTAAATGATCTTTCTGGGTCATTTAACTTTCACATATTACAAAATAGTTATTATTATTTTTATCTAATAGTTACAAAATGACCATAAATTTATCAAAAGTTTACACTTATTATAGCTTTATAGTGATATTTGATAATAATTTTACGAATTTAGTAACTCTTTTATAATTTTTAAAAGTTAAATGACTAAAACAATCATCGAATTTAGTTTAGAATAAAAAACCATTACCTTATTATAGAATGAAAAACTTACCTTATTCATTAACAATAATCTTTTTGAATTGAGTTATTTATATCACGCATCTTCAAGTTATAATTCTCGTTCTAAATTGATTTTTAAATTTTTTTATATTTTAATTTAATGTTAAATTATGTTTCTCGTTCTAAATTAGTCATCAAAATTTTAAATATTCTAATTTCATTCAAAAATTATGATCATCATTCTAAATTGAGGATGTGTAATGTAATTAACACTTTTAAATTTCACAAATTAGCTTTAAAAAAATTATAATATTTTTACATAAATTTCTAATTACTTTTTAAAAGATAACCTAAAATATTTTCTATCATTTGGATTTTAACCCCAAAATAATTGGTTAAGAAGATATAAACACGTAAAAAAACCATTCACATGAACAAATGACATCAATAATTAAAGGGATGATTGTCATTTTTAGAGATTACGGATTCGAGCACAACAACTTCAACAGTATTTGAACATTCATTATCAAATGATTAAGAGTATTTTGAACGTATATTACCCCTTTATTCAACCTAGACAAATAAGAAAGGGAATAGTACAAGTTGAATAACTAAACTATTACTTTTTCATTTTGGTACCCAAACTTTATTTTTTTAAAACTATATCTAACGTTTAATTAAATTTTCATTTTGGTACCCACCATTAAAAACTTAACAGTGATATTGACATGTCACCATAAGATAATGACATGTCATCATTAAAAAATTAAAAAATTACCACATCATTTGTTCTGTTAATGTTTTAACAACAAGTACTAAATTGAAAGTTAAACTAAATGTTAGGTATACTTTTGAAAAAAATAAAGTTTAGGGACCAAAACAGAATACAAGTAATAGTTTAGGTAATAAACGTGTAGTTTACCCTAAAAAGATATAGACACATCCAGTGTAACAAAGGGGTTAAATTTAAAAAATAACCCAATCTTTCCTCCCATTTGCATTTTAACCCCCAAAACTGAAAAACGATATGAAAGCAAACAGTATTATTTTCTCTTCTTTTTTGTGGAATATTGGGATCAATCAAAGCTTTCGGTTTGTTTTTTTATTCGATCAATTGGATTAATTGATTATCCGGCGATCAACAAGTCGACCTGTCTGAGCTATGTTCAAGTTCAGGTGATTTTCTCCTTTAGTTCTTCAATCTCTATTCATTTGCTTGGATATCCAGAAGCCTAATTTCTTTCCCAAGTTGACTGTGATTTTGACTAATTTAACTTCAATCTCTGTTTTTTGTTTCAATTTTGTTTATAGCTTCAGTGAAATTTAATCTGGGTTTGTTTTATTTTTAGGGGTTATTATGTTAGTTAATCCCATTTCCTTGAATTTTAATCTAAATTGTATAATTTAGAATCACCATTTACCAACCTTTTTTTGGTGTTTAGAGGATCTTTGATTATCAAAGACTAAAATCTGTGCTAAGAACAATTAGGTCATTGTAATTTATAGTATAAAACTTGTTTTAGCTATAATCTGGGATAAACTTCATTGCTTTCATTGCTTATAAAACAATATATGTTTTCATGAAGTTAGTTATAAGAATGAATTTCAAGTGATTTTGGTGCTATCACCTAGTCATTTGATATGCACCAGCTGCAACTTTTTGTTTGGGTTTCAATGTGGGTTAACTCTGTCAAATGCTTAAGAGTTTCCATTAATGTAGAAGTTTTGCGGGTATATAAAGTTGTACTTGTGAAATCATGGTCAAAAGTTAAATGCTGCCACGATATTTTTAACTGCATTTTGAGTTTTCATGGACATAATTTGTGGTATGCATGCATTGGTTTCACTATGTTGCAGGAATTCACACGAGCAACAAGCTCAGCCACGTCCGCAGGATGGCTCTTCCCGGCCGGCAACTCCGAGTAGTAGTGCTTCTAACAGCTTCAACTTGCCGAGGCCTGCAGAATGGTCGCATTCTCACTCGGTTTCACACACTAAAGCTGCTGGAGTCATTGCTCTTTTAAAGGAAAAAAGGTGATGGGTCTGGTTCATGTGTTCTATGTCTTGTTACTAGCAAAGCATCTGCATTTCCTCTTAAGAATGTTTGTTGAGTCCTAATTGCTTTCGTATTTTCTTAGTGTCGATGAATTACGGAAGCTTTTGTCTGATAAGGACGCTTACAATCGGTTCTTACAGTCAGTCGACCAGGTTAAGATTCAAACCAATGTAAGTAACAAAATCGCCTTGATTTCTTGAACCTTGTCCACTTCCCCAGTCTTCAAGATTACCGGTTCGGCTTTTTGGCCATAGCATAACAAGGGGTATCGATTAACCAGTGGATTTGGTGAGATTGATTGTCTATTACCGACCCCAGTATCGAAATATTTAGGGTACTGGCTATTCAGATTGTTGATTCATATTGCTTGTTTTCATATGCTGCTGTTGTCATTTCTTGTGTCCAAATGCTGATTATGAAGATAAGCCGTTATTGGTACTCTGTAATCTGTATGTTCATACTGGTCAGGAGATAATGTTTAATAAGGTTCCGATGTTTCGGAACTCGGTGGAATAGTTCCTGTTTAAAAGACTTGGAAAGGAAGACTTAACTTGAAATACTGAGGGTACCGGGGATGATCTTGTGTTTAAACTTAATTTGGATTAAACCAATACTGTTTAGCCTGTTAAATCCTGTTGGCTGGATCTTTTTGGTTTCCATTGTTTCGTTTGTGCTTTCCGATCCGAGCATGGCTCTACGCTAACTAAGGGCCTTGCTCAGTGTTATATTTGTTGTTCCTTGTTGGCATCATGATGGGGTTGCACTTTAGCCATGTTTTAGAACCATTTATTCGAATCGACATTCATCCGGCGAGAAAACTGTGTTGATCGTTACCTTGAATTTCATTGTTTTTTCCGGTTTCTTACTCGTCCGGATTAACTTCTTTTACCAGATAAGAGATGAACTTCGCAAGGAGACTATGCAGCTTGATAGTGAGTTCTTATTCCATTGAGTATCATGATAATATCATAAATTTCACAGATATAGAAATGTGCATAGGTAGACAACTTAACATTTATATGTTTTCAATAAACAGGGAACAATTTGGATAAAGAACCACAAATCATGGAGCTAAGGAACCAGGTGAGACTTTCTGAACCACAAATAACGTTAGTATATCAGTTCTAAAACCATTTTCTACCTCTTTCGTGTGATCGCAGTGCAGAATTATCCGCACGACTGAATTGGCCGCGTCTCAGGAAAAACTAATCGAGCTCGAGAGACAGATAGAAGAAACCCTGAAGCTCTACTCCCCTGCATCGTTTATGCATAGGCTGCAAGGTACATATTGATCTTATATCACCTACGTTACTTGGATTTAGATGCGAGTCCTCAAAGATGGTTTTACTTCCTTGTAGATGAAATGAATGCGACGGAAGTGGAATCGGAAATCTTGAACAGACAGCTCCTTGATGGGGAAATAGATATCGGGACCTTTGTGCAGAAGTACAAGAAGCTCCGGGGTAGTTACCACCGGCGAGCTCTCATTCTTCTAGCTGCTAAAACATCTCCGGTCGGATGACGAAAACGACCGGAGATAGTTATTGGTTGTATATCTATATGCCTTCATATTGATAAGACTGCTACTTGCAGCTTGGTGTATGAATGATGAAATCCATATAAGACTGTTACTCATGTGCATATGAATTAAGAGTTTGTTCGAGTCACCTCTTTAGTTCGTCGAAGCACAAAGTGAATCAACATCTCCATGTTGTTATACGAAGATCCACCTTCTTCAATGGCCTTACTCGCAATCTCCCCGAGCTGTTTAGCCTTTCTTCTCCTCTCTTCGCCGACATCGCTTTCCTCCGTTACTTCCTCGATCGCCATTATCACTCGTTCGTGTCTCATCAACAACCCGAACTCCTCCTCCAATCCCCACGTGACCGCTGCCTCGATGCCGATGCTAACCCCGATCCCGAGCACATCGACGAGGAAGTAATTCACAATCTACATCGTTTTCCAGGTTCCTCAATAATTTTTTCCTGGACAATTTTCTTTGTTAGAATCTTTTTCAAGTCTTTGGATTGCACTTCTCCATTGAGCTACATCTCTACCGCACAAAAAAGAACTCAAAACTTCAAGAGCTAGGGGGAGACCACTGGCATATTTTGCAACACGTTCGGTACTGTCTCACTATCAAAAGCTTTCAAATTGAAAAGTTGAAGTGCATCGTTGGCATTCAATGTTGAAGGCTTATACACATCATCAACTTGGTAAGATTGAAGCAAATGTTCATCTCTTGTTGTTACAATGATTCTACTCCCAAAACCGAAACAATCATGCGTTCCAACCAAGCATTTCAAGTGTTGTAAATTATCGACAACATCAATCTGATTATGGCATTCCCTTCATGAACATTTAAAATTTTGAAGACTTCACCTGACTATATCTGGAAAAGAAGTTGTTTCGAGTCCAAATTTGTCTGAAACTTCTCGAATGTCAGCAATGAAGCATTTACCTTCAAAATGAGATGACATTTGGTCGCATACAACTCTTGAGAGAGTTGTTTTACCGATGCCACCCATTCCGTAAATTCCTATGATGCGGGTGTCATCTTCCCCAATCTCTATTTTCGAATACAACTCCTCCAGGCGTGAACTAATTGCAACCAACTCATCAAGAAAAAGTGGATATGTTTGACATAATTTTTCTGATATTTTTCTAACAATGTCTCCAATAAATTCCGATTCATTCCTGCAAAGAAATAAAATTTAGTTCTTTACTTGATATTTTGCTTAAATCTTTTGAATGAGTTTTTCTTTTCTTTTCCTTTCAATGAATCATGAAACATAGTATGGTCTGGGAACAAACAAAAGGCAAGATCTGTTACAGTATCAGAATACACAACTTGCACTTTAATTAATAAAACTAGAAAAAGATTAGAATAGAATGAATTACCTGTTATTTAAATGCCATCCTTTGATGTTAGCCATTTGAGTCAAAGCATTTCGCCACCTCAGAATCTTTTCTTTATCTTCCTTGTATCTCTCTTCATGTTTGGAAAATGTTACTTCAACCTTTTCTTTCTGTTTTCTTAAACCGGATGGATCCACAATGTAGAAAATTGGAAATACTTTATGTCCCTTTTAACAATCCTCCAAGCACCAACCTGAAAAGACAGGTTTCTGAAAAAACAATTACCGAGCACCACGACTGTTGAATGGCTCTTAAGAGTTGTGGAGGGGTCTCTTCGCCGGGGTCCAGCTTCAGATCATCCCTGAAAGTGACGATTCCACTCCGTTTCAGAGCATCATAGAGATGATCAGTGAAGTTTTTACGGGTATCTTCACCTCTAAAACTCAAGAAAACATCGTATTTCTTTCTAGAAACAGATTATGAAGTTGAAGGTAACAACGACATGATGAAGTATGAAAAGGAAAATATATCTGAATCTGGTGTTGAAAATCAGACGATAGACAATCAAAGGATGGTAGCATAGGAAAAGAGCAAAACAGATCTAAATTTCCAAGGAAACAAATCTGGGGTCATAGACCAGAAATGGTGTATTTGAGAAGGATGTGTACATCGGCAAGAGGTAGAGTTCAAAATAAATAGTTCTCCAACTTTGATATTATCCCATTCTGTCATTTGCTTTAGTTAGATGAGTTTATTTGGAGTTGTCAAGTAAATGCTGGATTCTACGGCAGAAGGGAGCCCCCCATATTTGACAGTTATATCTTAAATTACGAACATCGGTTAACCTGTGATTCCTTCAGTTCAAGCCATGATCTACCAGCTGAATAACACAATTAAACCATCAAAAATGGTAGAAATTCAAAACAAATTTGCACTCAAATCTCGAAGCCACTCCACAACTCACCCTGGTTTCCCCAATAATACAATGATTATGAATTTCACCAAATCTAATTAGCTTTACCTTGATGCTATATTAATGATTCGATTCGTGCTTCTTCCTAAAAATTTTGAACTTATTGAATCACTATCATATGCCTTTATCTTAGGATATATTCTTCATCACTTAAATGATAACATCTCCACCGTTTGGATTGTCTAATGGAGCCTCGATCTTTAAGAAGCCCAAAATCCAAAACAGGTTTTCTTTTCCAATTAATCAAGTGACTTGTTTGTGACATGCATCCACCTGTCTGTAGTTCACGCTACCATAGCAACAACGGTGACAACGAGAACATTCATCCACCTGAATGAAGTTCACGTTACCATAGCAACAACGGTGACGAGAACTCGCCATATAATAAAGTCCATGACGCTGGTTGTAACCATGACTTCAGTTGCACCTACTGCAACAGACTAGGGCGAATGGTATGCCGGAATCAAGGATACTCGTATCTGATGAAGCCTGCAAGAGTTTATATAAAATGGCATTCAGTTTCACGGGAAAAGACTCAAAGGGTACATAAAACATTATGTTAACTCCTAGCTCATCGATAAATTTAATCTTACACCGGATAGAATCCTCCCAACAGGAGTCAAATCAAAGAGAAGCGTTGGAGCTTTGAAGAGGGCATTGGAGAGACCAGAGAAGAAGGCACTAAGTGTCACGAAAACAGTGTAAACTCCTATCAACATGCTGTTGGTGCAAGCAATTTTGGTGTTTTACTTGGAAGAAACATCAGCAAAGATAAGGATGATAATGCTCCAAACATCATAAAAGCATTTCACCCAGACTTGCTTTCTTCTTCAAGGTGCAATCCAACTTACCTTGCAATATATGAACTGTTACGAACAAGCCGTTTTGGTCATCAACAAGCTCTTCTGGAACCTTGCAAAGGTATCATACCTTGTTCCCATTAATCATGATGCAGTGATAAGACAGAGACAACCGACCATTGAACCATACATGCAATACCCTAATAGCCACGAAAGGGCTTGTCAGAAACATAGCGCTCTTTTCTTTGTGAAGCCAGATCAAGCAGCTCTTCCAGGGCTCCGAGTAGTGCCTTTCGAAGATTCAGGACTTGGTCGGACGTAGCCGCATTTTCAACATCTGCCTCTCAACATAGTAAGCCACATTAGAATGAAGTCTTCAAAGAGATATTACCAAAAATAATCAAAACAAGCTGATATACTTTCTTAGCTCCTTCAGTCTTTCTCTGCTTCTCCATTATCTTTTTCTAAGAGGGAGTCTTTAATGTGTGATCCTCTTCTTCAACCGGTGAGTTCAAAGGAATCGTACAACTTTAGAAGCACCTGCATTCAAAATCCAGTGATCATTGAACCGCAAGATTATATTTATGTATGTATATATACCTTGAGTAAAGGTTGTAAATGTGTGTATGCACTTGCTCAATGGATTGCTAGTCAATTTTTTTTAATATTTTACGGAAACTAAAACATATTTTAAAACATATGTGAAGTACAAATATTAAATATAAATATCCTAAAAATACTGAAAACGAATGAATAAACTGAGAGTAACTAAGGTTTCTTCCTCGGTCAACACATCATAAAATTGAAAAACTTTACCATCCTTTTTTACTGTGGCCCGGCCTCTGTCTCTTCATAAACATTACGTTTTCGCTTTACAAGGGAACCTTTAGCTATTGGTCCATCTGTGGCGGAGTGTTCAACGATATCTTCAAAATCTTTCTGATACACTATCCGAATCCCACATTTCTTCATCTTAACACTTTTGTGAGAATCATCAGATGTGATTGAAAATTGAAGTTCACCAAATCCCTGGTTTGAGCAATCTGATGATGAATTCTCGGTTAGGACATACATCCACCTGAATGTAGTTCACCACTACCATAGCAACAACGGCATCGGCGAGAACTCCATGTAATAAAGTCCATGACACTGGTTGTAACCATGACTTCAGTTGCACCTGCTGCCACAAAGACTAGGGCGAATGGTGTGTCGGAATCAAGAATACTCGTATCTGATGAAGCCTGCAAGAGTTTATATAAAACGGAATTTCGTTTCTGAGAAGGAAAAAAAAGAACCAAAGGGTACATAAATTTGATCTTACGCTGGTTAGAATCCTCCCAACAAGAGGCGAATCAAAGAAAAGCATCGGAGCTTTGACGATGTTATACCGGAAAAGAAGGCACTAAGAGTCACGAAAGCAGTGTAAACTCCTATGAACACGCTGTTGGTGCAAGCAAATTTGGTGTTTTACTTGGAAGAAACATTGGCAAAGATAAGGATGATAATGCTCCAAACATCATAAAAGCATTTCACCCTCTCACTTTCTTCTTCAAGGTGCAATCCAACTTACCTTACCTTGCAATATATGAATTATTATGAACAAGCCATTTTACAAGCTCTTCTGGAACCTTGCAAATACCATTTAACCATACCTGCAATAATCCAACTGCACCCCCAATAGCCACGAAAGTGCTTGTCAGAAACATAGAGCTCTTTTGCATCAAAACTTTTGGCAGTTTGAAGCTGGGAGAAATAACAGCTGGTGTATCAACCGAATTCTCAAAATGAGGACCATCGCTTTTCCCCTGATTACTTCAAGCATACTGCACACCAATGAAATTTGGGACAAGATTCGGATGCAGCGGCCGAAAGTTGAATGGCACAGGCTCATTTGATATCCTATGCATATACCGAAGCATAGCCTGATCGTTTGGATGGCCATTTTGAACAGGTTACCTAGCAGTGTTCGGCTACAAAAAATGGGAATTAATACTGCTGCTATTTGTGTAAATTGCAGAAACTGTAATGAAACAAGGGATCACTTGTTTTCCATTTGTCCCATGGCTGTCGATCTCTGGAAATCTATTCTTCTACTGAATGGAATGACCTTCACAGCTCTGACTTGGGAAGTAATGGTCTCTCGGGCGTGCTTAACGTGGAAAGGGAAATCCCTTACTACCACAATCTTGAAAATTTCTTGGAATGCTTTTATTTACTTCCTGTGGCAAGAACGAAATCGTAGAATGTACCAAGGCCGATCGCGTACTGCCGACAATTTGCTTAAGGAAATTATCGAAGTTGTTGGTATACGTCTTAGGGGGAAACCTATTAATAGACTAAATTGCACTAATTTTGCCCTTTGTAATGCTTGGGGAGTTGTATAACCAACCACTAATTTTTTTGTATCTTGTTCATTTTGTTCAGTCTGCTGATTGGTTTTGGTTGTAGCATAATTTTACTATTTTGGGTAATAAAATTCTGGTTTATCCAAAAAAAAATGCAGCTCTAGCTTGGAGCTCATATTTTAAAATATTGAAAATGTGTGAACAGAATTGATCGTAACTAATGCTTCTTCCCCAGTTGGCCCATCATAAAATTGAAAAAAAATTCCATCCTTTTTGGTTGTGGCGAAGTCTCCGTCTCTTCTTAAACATTACGTTTTCGCTTTGTAAGGGGACCTTTAGCTATTGATCCATCTGCAGTGGAGTCTTCATTGGTATCTTCCAAATCTCTCTGATACAGTATTCGAATCCCACATTTCTTCACCTTGACACTTAAATTGACTGTAACTAACTCATATTTTAGAACACATGTGAAGTACAAATATTAAATATAAACATCCTAAAATTATTGAAAATGTGTGAATAAATTGACAGTAACTAAGGTTTCTTCCTCGGTCAACCAATCATAAAATTGAAAAACTTTACCGCCCTTTTTTAATTTGGCCCGGCCTCTGTCTCTTCGTAAACATTTCGTTTTCGCTTTGCAAGGGAACCCTTAGCTATTGATCCATCTGAGGCGTTGTGTTCAACGATATCTTCGAAATCTTTCTGATACACTATCCGAATCCCACATCTCTTCACCTTAACACTTTTGCGGGAATCATCAGATTTGATTGAAAATTGAAGTTCACCAAATTCCTGATTTGAGCAATCTGATGATGAATTCTCGGTTTCACTTTCACTACATTTGTCCTCCAAGGAAAATGGATATAATCGACAACACGACAAATAACAAAAATAAATGTGATCCTTTATTATGGGCTGGTTATATTTTTTAGAAAAAATCCAGCCGCCCCCTGCGACAGGTCGATGATTTCTACCCTGGAAAACAGATCCATCAGAACCAGCTTGTCCAGATTTCCTATGATGGATAACAGCTTCACATGTGAGTTCCTCATCCCTTGAAGCATCATCATTGACGAAAACGCAGCAGAAAGCAACTCCGACCCACTGACTATCATTCCAAATATTGTTAGGCAGAGGTATCTTGATTGAAGAGTTAACTGCCTGATGGCTGAACCATTTTGGAATTCCACTTCCAGGTAGTATAGCATCATAACTTTTTCCGAAATATTCAAGTGCCTGCAGAATAAGATGTTGTTTGGTAACTAATACTACAATTCTTCAAGAATGAGATTCTGTAAATACGAAAGAATTGTCAACCTTAAGATGGATTTTCAGCATTGTTAGTGCATTGATATTCTCAACTAATCTGTAGCAGTGAAGACCACTAAACTGTGTCCAATCCGCTGCATTACAAACCTTTAATGGAGTTGCAAATAGTTCAAGATAAGCAAAAAGATTATCCAACGATTTAAGCTCCCTGCAGTTTGACAATCCAAGATATTGAAGCCTGGAAACTACAGTACCAGACACAGGTACGCTGATGAAATTGTTACCGCCAAGCTCAAGTTTTTCCAAAGAGGATAAACAAGAAATATCACTAGGAATATCTCCTTCACCAAGATTGCAGTTCTTTAGTTTCAGCTCTCTTAACGAACTCAAACCTGACAATGAATGTAAAATCAGAGGCACAGGCTTGGTCACTCCTAGTTGGAATATCTGGAAAATCGAAGGTAGATTTGGTCCTAACTTAGATAATGGTCCCTTGAGCCTATTCAAAGACAAAACTTTGAGATTTTTAAGTTGAAAAATGAAGGATGGCGGTTTTACTATGGCTGTTTCACTTAAGTCGAGCTCTTCCAACAACTCTACTTGCTGCAAATTCTCCGGTAAATTTTCAACTTTATAACAGCCAGAAAGATCAAGAGTTTTTAGACATTTACACCCACCTATGCTGCTTGGGAGACTAATAAGGTTTCTGCAATCTTTTAGGATTAATGTTTCAAGAGATTCTATTCCAACTTTGGTTGGAAGATTCCTAAGACTTGTGCAGCTTCTTAAATTCAAAAGTTCGAGCCTCGAAAGAACTCCGATGGATGGATGAACATCTACTATTCTTATACAACCCTCCAATATCAAATTTTCCAGATTTGGGGCTGTTGTAAAGTCCGGTGTCTTGATCAGGTTTTCTGACCCTTTGAGGTTGAGCACTTTCAACTTATACAGCGGCTGTTGAAAACAATAATAAATTAGAGAAGATTTAGTTAATCTGGATAAAATAAGTTAGAAAACAAGGGTCATATGAATTAGTTCTTACTATATTTCCCTTCCATAGTTGCTGAATGCGACTGTATGGTAACAAAAGTGCAACAAGGTTGTCTGGTTGGAAGCTTGGAGGTAAAAATCTTAAAGGATATCCCATCCAATCTAAGAGCCGTAGTTCATTAGGAAGATATTTGAATTCATCACAATTTGAGTGGCAAAGTACCCTCAGCAATCTCAATTTTGTCGTCTTCGAGACAACACCGGCATTCAAATTGAGCATCTTGTTTGGTTCCCTGACAGCCATGGGTAAAACAAAGAAAATTCAGTTTACAATATACCAAAGCACTCAATACCTAAAAGCAAGGCTGCTCCAGCACTTAATTTATCTGTTTTCTGTCAAGCACGCGTATCCCGCACACATCCGAGTACAAAATTAGAAAGGATTCTTCAAGGACTTCCAAAATTAAAAATGCTACGGTTTGAGAAGCATAGCCCATAAGGCATACACCTTCCTTTTAAAGTGTAAGTTAGTGCCATTGACATTTGGTAGAATTGTTTTGCCCAAAAAAAGTTAAAAAAGAAAGGTTTAAAAAGCAAAAGACCACTGCACTATACCTGAAAGTATGTTTTGTCCACAAGGTTTTACCCAAAAAAAGTTAACTAAGAAAGGTTTAAAAAGCAAATGGTTTGCCCCTACCAGCTAATGGATCAATGACACATGGCGTAATTTAACTAAGGACCAAACTGGGAATCAAGCCAAGTTTAAGATTCAATTGGTATATAAAGCCTAAAAACAAAAACCCAGATTTTGGCAAGTTTTCCAGTACTGCTTCTTCAGCGAATTTTTACACCATCTTGACCCAATTCCTGATTAACCCAATAAAAAGCAATAACAATATGAAATTTATACATCGATACATGTTTATGCATGTTTTGCTACCTTTTATTGTCAATGATCACGCCTTCAATCACTTCTGTAGCCTGAAATAATAAGACATAAAAAACACAAAAATAAAATGAGATAATTTCGTGATAAAACTTGTGAAAAATTGCATTATGTTTATCATTCTTGTCTCTAACATTAATATAATCTTTTGGTTAAATATAGTAAATAAATCAATTTCAACCTTAATATAAGATACAATTTCCATGGAATGACTTACCGTGTTTTTCGTTAGCACATGATAGACATCGTTTTCCTCCCACAATCTACAACGATTTCCAGGTTCCTCAATAGATTTTTCCCGGACAATTTTTCTTCCCATTTCTTGTAGCAAGTTATGCATCCACAATTTGTTGTTTTCATTAATTGTTAGTAGAGACTTCTTAATGAGAACATCGATTCCAATATCCGGGAAAAATTCACAACCATCCAATACTTTCATTACAAAATCTTTGTCCTCCCCATTGAAGAAACATGCTATATCTAGAAATATATTCTTCTCAGTTTCTTCCAATCCATCAAAGCTGATTCGAAGTCTGTCAATAATTTCTTTGTTAGATTCATTTTCAAGTCTTTGGATTGCACTTCTCCATTGAGCTACATCTCTACCGCACAAGAAAGAACCCAAAACTTCAAGAGCTAAGGGGAGACCGCCAGCATAACGCACAACATGTTTAGAAAGCTTAATCAAATTATTTTCTGACACTGTTTCACTACCGAAAGCTTTCAAATTGAAAAGATGAGATGCATCTTCAGGATTCAATGTTGTTGATATATACACATCATCCACTTGGTAGGATCGCAACAAATGTTCATCTCTAGTTGTTATAATAATTCTACTCCCTAAACCAAACCAATCATGCCTTCCAACCAAGCATTTCAAATGTTGTAAATTATCAACATCATCAATAACAAGAAGGACCTTTTTGTGAGACAACCTATGCCTAAGTATGGAATTCCCTTCATGAACATTGAAAAATTCAAAGCCTTCACCAGACGAGATCTGGAAAAGAATTTGTTTCTGTAGAGAAATGAGTCCAAATTTGTCTGAGACTTCCCGAACGTCAGCTATGAAGCATTTACCTTCAAAATGAGATGACATTTGGTCGTATACAACTCTTGCAAGAGTTGTTTTACCGATGCCACCCATTCCGCAAATTCCTATGATGCGGATGTCATCTTCTCCAATCTCTATTTTCGAATACAACTCCTTCAAGCGTGAACTAATACCAACCAACTCATCATGGACTATTGGGTATGTTTGACATAATTTTGCTGATATTTTTCTAACAATGTCTCCAATAAATCCCGACTCATGCCTACAAAGAAAAATTTAGTTGTGTTGAATAAATATTTTGCTGGTATCTTTTGAATGAGCTTTTCTTTTACATTTTGATTTCAATGAATCACGAAACATAGTATAGTTTGGGAGCAAAGAAAAAGAAAGAATAAGAAGACAAGCTATATTACAGCATCAAAATACACAACTTGCCCTTTAGATGAAATATGGAACTAGATTATCAAAAATTTTAAATTTATATATATCATGGTTGGTAATGTTAAATCTATACATAACATGTAATAAAAAACCAACAGTTTTGTAATGATCATTAAATTAATCAAACTAGAAAAAAAATAAGAATAGATTGAATTACCTGTTATTTAAATGCCATCCTTTGATGTTAGCCACTTGAGTCAAAGCGTTTCGCCACCTTAGAATCTTTTCTTTATCTTCCTTGTATCTTTCTTCATGTTTGGCAATTGCTTCTTCGAATTTTGCTTTCTGTTTTCTTAAATTGGATGGCGCCACATCGTAGAAAATTGGAAATACTTCATGTCCCTTCTCGTTTTTCTGTTTAACAATCTCAGCAAGCTCCTCCAAGCACCAACTTGAAAAGGCATAGGTGTCCGAGAAAACGATTATCGAACACCATGATTGTTGAATGGCTCTGAAGAGTTGTGATGGGATATCTTCACCGGCATCCAGCTTTGGATCATCCCTGAAAGTGACAATTCCACTCCGTTTCAGAGAATCGTAGAGATGATCTGTGAAGTTTTTACGGGTATCTTCACCTCTAAAACTCAAGAAAACATCGTATTTCTTTCTAGAAATAGATGATGAAGTTGAAGGTAATGATGACATGATGAAGTATGTGAAGGAAAAATATATCTGAATCTGGTGTTGGAAATCAGAAGATAGATCTCCCAATACCCAGAAAGAAGCTATAAACAATCAAAGTATAGGAGCATAAGAAGAGAGAAAAACAGATCAAATTTGAAAGGAAACAAACTTGAGGTTATAGACCAGAAATGATGTATTTGAGAAGGCTTTGTTCATCAACGACTGGTAAGAGTTCGAAATAAATAATTCTCGACCTCCCATATCATCACATTCCATCTCTAGTCAATTGCTATAGTTAGCTGCGTTTACTTGAATTTGTCAAGTAAATAATGGAGCCCCACATTTGACAACCAGTGCTTAAATTCTGACATCAGTTACCTGTAATTTCTTCAGTTCAAGCCATGATCGACCGGCTGAAAAATACAATTAACCTAAAAAATGGTCAAAATTCAAATCCAATTTGCACTTAAATTTCGAAGCTACTCCACAACTCACCAGGGTTTCCCTAATAATACAATGATTCTAAATCTCAAAAAACAGCAGGCAAATTAATTAGCTTTACCTTGATGCTATAATAATGACTTGATCTGTGCTTTTTACCAGAAATTGTCAAATATCATAGATTAAAACACAAAAATGTATTGCCATACCTCATGGTTTTACACTCTAGCTGCCATCATCATCCTCTACTTTGCACCCATCGAAACATATGCCATCATCATCATCGCCATCATCGGGCATTTTTCCTTTAGATGACGGGCCTTGTGCCACATGGAAATGGACTTACGGTTGCATTGGTGCAGTTGGTATTATCCCATCCTATCTCCCGTCAATTACTTTAGTTTACTTAGGTTGATTTCTATGGTCTACATTTTTACCAGAACTTTCTACGTTTCACATTTATCAATATATATATATTCAGAAAACATTAATTTCTTGTAAGAGAAAATGATAGAGGAGACTAATCAACTAAATGCCGGATTCTACGGAGGAAAAATGGAAAACAGTTCCGGCCATGATCAACCAGTAGCTAAAGTTGAAAAACATAATTAAACCTTCAAAATTATCAGAATTTGAATCGAATTCGCACTTAAAATTCGAATCTACTCCATAACAACTCCGTGAGTAGAATTCAGAAATGAATGATGCCGAATATCTACCCTGGTTTACCTAATAATACAATGATTTTGAATAAAAAAACAGTAAGCAAATATCATTAGTTTTACACTGTTATTAGGAATAATGATTCGATTCGTGCTTCTTCCCGGAAATTATTGAATACCATATGTTTAAAAATAATAATATATTGCCGTACCTCTTCCTTTTACACTCTCGCCGCCATCATCATCTTCATCGAGCTTTACTGAAAATGAATTTAATGAGTTTATTTTAATTGTTTGAGTAAACTATACCTTTCATCACTCAACTTTACTCTCTCTCATATTTTACTCAATGTATTTATCGTTTTTTCAATTTACTCACTAAACTTTGACATTACTCATATTTTGATCACTCTAACTTATTCTATTATTTTTATGTGACGTGACAGTTTTATTATTATTATTATTATTATATTCATAAACGTAGATTAAAATAAAAATATATATTAAATTAAATTAAAAAATCTAAATTCAAATCTAAATTCAAAATAATATCTAAACCCAAAATTACAAACCATCACCCTACATTCCATTAGGGATGTGCATAAGACTCGAATTTGATGGATTTTGATTCGATACTACTCAATCAGGTCGGGATTTAAAAAAATGAGTTAGAGTAAGGTTTTTTAAATGTAATGTTTGAGTATGGTTGAATTCGAGTTTAAAGTGAAAAATATCCGATCTAACCTCAAAAAATATATAATTTTACCTAATATATTTAAGGATAATTACAATAATAACCATTTATATACTATTTTTTCAATTAAATCTCTATTTTTATTAAAAAAAATAAAATTTTATTATTATTTCAGGTTGTATCAGATTAGGTTCAAATTTTATCTTAAAAAGTCGGATTAGATTCGGATTTGATGAAGAATATATATTTTTTGGGTCGAATTAAGTCGGGTGGAGGATGTAAAATTTTTAGGTCGGGTCGAATTAACCGAAACCCAACCCAAACCTGACAGGTGCCCATCTCTACCTTCCACAGCCTCAACCTTACCTAGGGTTGTAAATGAGACGAAACAGATCACGAGCTACTCGAGATCGACTTGATCAAGGCTCGATAAATATTCGGATTGAATGGACTCGACTCGAGCTCTTAACGAGCCGAAACGAGCTACTTGATATTCAACTCAAAAAACTCGTGAGCAGCTCGAAAATATAATATATTAAGATTTTATTTTTAAAAAAAATAAATTATTAATAATATTAATATTTATGTATTGATTTTTTTAAATATAATAAGATTTTCATGTATTTAAGGTTCATGTTCGAATTTGAGTTTGAGGCTTCAATTGAGTTAAGTTTAAGAATTTTTTTCATTTCGAGCCTTTTCGAGCTCCTCACAGACTTCAGTTCAGAATTTTGAGTTCGAGTAAAACTTGAAAATTGTAAACTTGCGAATTTTCGAGATCTATTTCAGAATTTTCGAATCGACTCAGCTCGTTTTCACTCACCAATCTTTCCCTTTTTTCGGCCATCCCCTGTCCACTGGCACAACACCTTTCATTTTGTTCCCCCTCGCCGTCGTCGTATTAGTGGAACGAGAAATAAGAGGTGAAGGAAACCTCGTCGTCATCTTGATTGCCGCTGTTGAAGAAGGTGATAAAGATGGAGACAAATACTGCGAAGAAACATATCTACCTCTGGTTTTCCTTTTAACAACGGAGCCATTGTCTTTAAGAGCAGACCCTTTAATTATAGTTGAATTTGGATTTTCTTCATAATCGGTGCTTGATTTTAGTGAGGTTTGAAGGAGTTGAGAACGAGAGAATGCAACCGCCATCATCATCTGATATTATAAGAGGATTCAACTTTCTATTCTACATTTCCTCTAAAAAATTCACTAAATTACTGGCCATGGGTCTTCATTTTCATGGATGATAACCACGAAAACAAACAAGTTTTAGGTAATTTGTGCTTTTAACTTCAACAATAGTGAAAAAAATAGTTTTTTTTTGGGGGTTTTCAAAGCTACCGAAGAAAATAGTAGGTTAGGTGAGAGATTTGGGCAAAGAGAAGAGATTCGGCTGGGATTTTTCGGTGTTGTGTCCATGGACGGAGGATCGCCGGAAAGGAAGGGGCGGGTTGGCGAGGTTGAGGCTGTGCGGATAAGGGTTTTGATATAATTTTTTGGGTTTAGATATAGTTAAAAAAAATTAATTAAACATATATTATATTTTAATCTATATTTATTCATACAATAATAATAAACTGCCATGTCACATAAAAAATTATAAAATAAATTAAAGTGATTAAAATATGAGCAATGTCAAAGTTTAGTGAGTAAATTGAAAAAAAATTAAAAGTATGATAAATATGATAGAAGAGATAATAAAGTTCGAGGGTAGTTTATCCTAATTTTTTAATAAAGTATTGAAGTGATTTTAGATTTTATTTTATTTTTTAAATGGTAAATTACGTAAATGATCACTTATATTTGAGTAATAAATTAGTTAATAGCGTTATCAATTTATAATAAAAGGATCACTCTATCATCATCTATGTTAAATTGATGATGTGACAACGTTAAAAAAATGTTAATATTTAATTATACCCCTAACATACTATTAAAACATCAAACAGGTCTTTAAAACAATAGTTTTATATCTAATTTTGAGAAAGGATATGAGACCAGTACTGTTGCTGTGAATGCTAACATTGTTGACGAATGACTAGAAAATGGTGAGCTAGCTCTTGCTTGAATCTTTAAATTTGATCTGCTAATAACATTTTCACTTGAGACTGAAGCAACAAAAGGAGAATTAGTGAATAACTGTTGCAAGTAATAGTAGCAGGTGTATTATCCCTCTTTCCGCCATGAAAGAAAGACAGTAACTCGAGGTTGTCTGTTTCTGGTGTTGCTTTAGGAAGAATTTGAAACAACAATTTTCACTGTCTGAAATGAACACTATTACTGTTTCAGTTATGGTCCCCATATCGTTTTATCTTACTTACTCTCCACTCTTCAAGTGAGAATTCCATAACAAGTGCCGACTATAATAAGTTGATTGCTAATTCTTTTCACTTATATTCGAGCATGAGTGCTAAATACAAGTATATCTTTGAGATGTATATGGATGGAACATGACAGTTGTTCTAGGGGCTAGTATCTTTGTTTTCCTACTTCCTAGTCACATGTATCTTTTCTTCGGCTTTTCGGCGAGCTTTCTCTCCTGTGCTCTCTTGGAAGGATGTTTGATCCCTCTATAAACTACTCTTCTTAGTCGGGTATGCCATTGAAAATCGCCGGTCTCGTATCTCTTCTCGAAGTTTGTAAATCAACCGTCAATCGTTTGGGTTTCTTCTATTTTCAAATTAAGAAGTTTTTGGAGTGACTATTTGATGTTTTAGTAGTAGTTGAAGAGTAAAACTAAATGCTAACTTTCTGTTAATGTTACCACATCATCAATTTAACGAGATGATAGTGGAGTGATCATTTTGTTATAAATCAATAACGTTAATGATTAATTTGTTACTTTTGAAACATCAATAAGAAAATGAAAACTTAATCAAATGTTAGTGACCATTTTTGTAATTTACCCTTTTTGAATTATGGTATAATATAATTAAACTACAGCATACACCACTCAAATATCAGTATGATTACAAATGGCTCATTCAACTTTAAAAAGTTACAAACAAATACCTCAACTAATCGATTATTACAAACAAGTCATTGGATCATTAAATATTCGATGGTTTTCTGACATTGAATACTTTTCTTTTCTCATTAAAACATTAAATTTCTTAGTTACAGTCAAGTCACCTAATTAATTGATTGTAATAATTAAGTTTTGTGCGACTAAACCAATTATCGTCAATTGTCATATACAATGATTGATGAACTTTAAATTTTATCATAAAATTCACCACTCTTCTTATTCAATTCATCGGATTAGATTTATGAGAATCTCTTTCAAAAGTCATGAAATCAGTCTCAATTTTTTAAACTTTATGAATCTCGATCTACATCGACCATGATCATATGGTCTTCGTCTCAAGATACATTTATCTCACCAATGGAAGCCTCTCTACTGTTCAGATTATCGAATGAGGCCCTCAATCTTTGAGAAGCTCAAAATCCAAAATGATTTTTTTCCAATTTCTTTCAATATTACAAATTTTACAAAAAAAGTAATTTAAATTATAATAAATTTTAATTATCAAAGACTTCAAATACTAATTCATCAATGCGTACCAAGAAAAAAAATAGTTCCATTAATTCTAATTAGTTACATCGTAGAGGACATATAATACCACTGAAGTTTGATGAACAAAGATGTTAACCCTTTCGGCTCGGCTGCAAATGAGATTGGAGCAAAGCAACAAGAAAATGTGTCTGCCTGAAAGTAGTTTACAAGTTACCATAGCAACAATGGTGACAACGAGAAATTCCATGTAATGAAGTCCATGATTCCGGTTGTAGCCATGACTTCAGTTGCACCCACTGCAACAAAGACTAGGGCGAATGCTCTGTCGGAATCAAGAATACTCGTATCTATTGAAGCCTGCAAGAGATTATATAAAATGGCATTTAGTTTCTCGGGAAAAGACTCAAAGGGTACATAAAACATTAACTCCTAGCTCATCGGTAAATTTAATCTTACACCGGATAAGCATTGGAGCTTTGAAGAAGGCATTGGTGAGACCGGAGAAGAAGGCACTAAGTGTCACGAAAGCAGTGTAAACTCCTATCAACATGCTGTTGGTGCAAGCAATTTTGGTGTTTTACTTGGAAGAAACATTGGCAAAGATGAGGATGACAACGCTCTAAACATCACAAAAGCATTTCCACCCTCTTACTTGCATCTTCATGGTGCAATCTAACTCAACTTGCAATAAATGAATTATCATGAACAAGCCATTTTGGTCATCTACGAGCTCTTCCGGAACCGCAAATTTATCATGCCTTGTTTCCCTTCATCACGATACAGTGACAGGACAGAGGCAATCGACCATTTAACCATACTTGCAATAATCCAACTTCAACCCCCTGATAGCCACGAAAGTGTTTGTCAGAAGCATAGAGCTCTTTTGCTTGTAAATGCAGATCTAACATAGAGCTCAAATTTTAAAATATATGCTATGTACAGATATTAAAAATAGATATCCTAAAAATATTGAAAATGTGTGAATAGAATTGACCGTAACTAATGCTTCTTACCCGGTCGGCCCATCATAAAATTGAAAAACTTGTGCATCCTTTTTGGTTGTGACCCGGCCTCCCTCTCTTCATAAACATTACGTTTTCGCTTTACAAGGGGACCATTAGCTATTGATCCATTTTCAGTGGAGGCTTCATTGATATCTTCTAAATCTTTCTGATACAGTATTCGAATCCCGCATTTCTTCACCTTAACACACTTGTGAGAATCATCGGATGTGATTGAAAATTGAAGTTCATCAAATTCCTGATTTGAGCAATCCGATGATGAATTCTTGGTTTCACTTCCTCCACATTTATCCTCCAAGGAAAATGGATATAATTTGTCACGTGAAAAATAACATAAATAAATGTGGTCCTTTATTATGGGCTGGTTGTATTCTTTAGAAAAAATCCAGCCGTGCCCTGTGACACGTCTAGGATTTCTACTCCGACAAACAGATCCATCGGAACCATCTTTTCCAGAATTCCTACGATGGATAACAGCTTCACATGTGAGTTCCTCATTCCTTGAAGCGTCATCGTTGACAAAAATGCAGCAGAAAGAAACTCCAATCCATCGACTATCATTCCAAATATTGTTAGGCAGTGGTATCTTGATTGAGGAGTCAACTGCTTGATGGCCGAACCATTTTGGGATTTCTCCTCCAGGTACAACAATTTCCAAACTTTTTCTTAAACATCCACCTCGCTGCAAAATAAAATGTTGTTTGGTAACAAATACTATAATTCTTCAAGAATGAGATTCTGTAAATACAAAGAATGATAAATCGACCTTAAGGTAGATTTTCACCGATGTTAATGCATTGACATTCTCGACTAATCTGTAGCAGTGAAGACAATTAAACCGTGTCCCACCCATTGCATTGCAAAACTTTGATGTAATTGCAAATTGTTCTAGAGAAACATCAATATCAGGCAACGATTTAACCTCCCTGCAATTTGACAACCCCAAATATTGAAGCCTAGAAAGTCCACTAACAAACGCCGGTATGTTGATGAAATTGTTGCCGCCAAGCTCAAGTTTTTCCAAAGAGGATAAACAAGAAATATCACTAGGAATATCTCCTTCACCAAGATTGCAGTTCCTTAGTTTCAGCTCTCTTAATGAACTCAAACCTGACAATGAATGCAACATCAGAGGCACAGACTCGATTCTTCCTCGTTGGAATATCTGGAAAAGAGAAGGTAGATTTGGTCCTAACTTAGATGATGGTCCCTTGAGCCTATTCAAAGACAACACTTTGAGATTTTTAAGTTGAAAAATGAAGGATGGCGGTTTTAATATGGCTGTTTCACTTAAGTCAAGCTCTTCCAACAACTCTAATTGATGCAAATTCTCCAGCAAATTTTCAACTTTATAACAGCCAGAAAGATTAAGTGTTTTTAGACGTTTACATCCACCTATGCTGCTTGGGAGACTAATAAGGTTTCTGCAATCTTCTAGGATTAAAGTTTCAAGAGATTCTATTCCAATTTTGGTTGGAAGATTCCTAAGGTTTGTACAGCTTCTTAAATTCAAAAGTTTAAGCCTCGAAAGAAATCCGATGGACGGATGAACATCTACCATTCTTGTACAACCCTCCAATATTAAAATTTCCAGATTTGGGGCTGTTGTAAAGTCCGGTGTCTTCATCAGGTTTTCGGACCCTTTGAGGTTGAGCACTTTCAACTTATACAGGGACTGTTGAAAAAAACAATAAATTAGATAATATTTAGTTAATATTCCTAAATAAGCTAGAAAACAATGATCTTATGAATTAATTCTTACCATATTTCCCTTCTGTAGTTGTTCAATGCGACTGTACGGTAACAGAAGTGCAACAAGGTTGTCTGGTTGGAAGCTTGGAGGTAAGAATCTTAAAGGATATCCCATCCAATCTAAAAGCCGTAGTTCATTAGGAAGATACTTGAGTTCATCACAATTTGAGAGGCAAAGAACTTTGAGCAATCTCAACTTTTTCATCTTCAAGACAGCATCGTCATTCATATTGAGTATCTTGTTCGATTCCCTGATAACCATATGCTGATTAAGCCAATAAAAAAGCAATAACAATATGAAATTTATACATCGATACCTGTTTATTTATGTTTTCCTACCTTTTATTGTCAACGATCATGCCTTCAATCACTTCCGTTGCCTAAAAGCATTCAACAATAAGACATAAGAAAACAAAACATAAAAGGGGGTAAATTATAGGATAAAACTTGTGAAAATTTAGATAATGTTAATCATTCTTGTCTTCAACATTAATATAATATTTTGGTTAAATATAGTAAATAAATCATTTTCAACATTAATATAAGATGCAATTTTCGTGAAATGGCTTACCGTGTTTTTCGTTAGCACATGATAGACATCTTTTTCCTCCCACAATCTACAACGTTTTCCAGGTTCCTCAATAGATTTTTCCCGGACAATTTTTCTTCCCATTTCTTGTAGCAAGTTATGCATCCACAATTTGTTGTTTTCATTAACTGTTAGTAGAGACTTCTTAATGATCGATTCCAATATCCGGGAAAAACTCACAACCATCCAATACTTTCATTACAAAATCTTTGTCCTCCCCATTGAAGAAGCATGCTATATCTAGAAATATATTCTTTTCCGTTTCTTCCAATCCATCAAAGCTGATTCGAAGTCTGTCGATAATTTCTTTGTTAGAATCCTTTTCAAGTCTTTGGATTGCACTTCTCCACTGAGCTACATCTCTACCGCACAGAAAAGAACCTAAAACTTCAAGAGCTAAGGGGAGACCACTGGCATATTTTGCTACATGCTCAGAAAGCTCAATGAAAACATCATTCGGTACTGCCTCACTATCAAAAGCTTTCAAATTGAAAAGTTGAAGTGCATCGCTGTCATTCAATGCTGAAGGCTTATACACATCATCAACTCGGTAAGATTGGAGCAAATGTTCATCTCTTGTTGTTACAATGATTCTGCTCCCTAAACCGAACCAATCATGCCTTCCAACCAAGCATTTCAAGTGCTGTAAATTATCCACATCATCAATAACAACAAGGACCTTTTTGTTAGACAACCTATGGCTAATTATGGCATTCCCTTCATGAACATTGAAAAATTCGAAGACTTCAACAGGCAAGATCTGGAAAAGAAGTTGTTTCTGTAGAGAAACGAGTCCAGATTTATCTGAAACTTCTCGAACGTCAGCAACGAAGCATTTACCTTCAAAATGAGATGACATTTGGTCGTATACAACTCTTGCTAGAGTTGTTTTACCGATGCCGCCCATTCCGCAAATTCCTATGATGCGGATGTCATCTTCCCCAACCTCTATTTTTGAATACAACTCCTCCAAGCGTGAACTGATTCCAACCAACTCGTCATGAAGAACTGGATATGTTTGACATAATTTTGCTGATATTTTTCTAACAATACTTCTAATAAATTCCGCTTCATGCCTTCAAAGAAAAAAAAATTAGTTGTTTTGAATAAATATTTTAAATCTATATATAACATGTAATTTAAAAAAAACGGTTTTGTAATCATTAAATTAGTTAAACTAGAAAAAAGATAAGAAGGATTTACCTGTTATTTAAATGCCATCCTTTGATGTTAGCCACTTGAGTCAAAGCATTTCGCCACCTTAGAATCTTTTCTTTATCTACCTTGTATCTCTCTTCATGTTTGGCAAATGCTTCTTCAACTTTTCCTGTCTGCTTTCTTAATGCAGACGGATCCACATCGTAGAAAATTGAAAATACTTTATGTCCTTTCTCGTTTCTCTGTTTAACAATCTCGGCAAGCTCCTCCAAGCACCAACTTGAAGAGGCATAGGTTCCTGAAAAAACGATTACCGAGCACCACGATTGTTGAATGGCTCTGAAGAGTTGTGGTGGGATCTTTTCGGCTATCTCCAGCTTTGGATCATCCATGAAAGTGACAATCCCACTCCGTTTCAGAGCATCGTAGAGATGATCTGTGAAGTTTCTGCGGGTATCTTGACCTCTAAAACTCAAGAAAACATCATATTTCTTTCTAGAAATACTAGAAATAGATGATGAAGTTGAAGGTAAGGACAACATGATGAAGTTTGAATAGGAAACGATGTCTGAATATGGTGTTCAAAATCAGAAAATAGATCTCCCAATGCCCAGAAAGAAACTATAAGGAATCAAAGTATATGAGCATAGAAAAAAGAAAGCAAAAGAGATCAATTTTCCAAGGAAACAAATTTGGGGTTATAGACCATAAATGAGTATTTGACGAGGCTTAGATCATGTCAAAATAATAAAATGAATAAGAATAAGTAGAATAATAAAAGTAGAGATCAATTCACAGATACTAGAAGTTTGACGATTTCCTCGGTTTTTATCTGGCTTCAAGGGGGTATTGGAGAATTAAAGTAAACTAATAAAATTGATTGAAATAAAATAATATAGTAAATAAAGAAAATAAAATTCAATTGGTAAAAATCAGTTTTGGGATAAGTTTTTGCCTTGATTTAAATCGATCCTCAAATTGGATTTTACCTTCGGGCTCACGCCGGTTACAGTCTATAGGGTCCAATCCCTATAACTTGTTTTTCTCTCAAATGATTCGAGAATCTAAAATCAATTTTCAGATCTCGACTCTTTGTGAGTTAATAGCGGCAATATCTTATTAATTCAACACCTTCAAATTCTGGAAAAACCCGACTCGGATTCTATCGTCTCATGAGAATCTAACCCGATTTCAGTTTTCCTTAGTTGACCGCCGCTAAGTGTGTTCACAAGAAGACGAATGTGCCACAAGCCGATCATTCCTCCCAACTGTTAATCGAAACCAAAATTCAATTCCAACGTGTACTTTTTGAAATGAATCGATCATTGATTTCTGAAAACTGAAAATGTAACCCTTGAGAGTATGAAGCTCTTTTCGATTCTAACGACTTAGAATCGAGTCATTGCTCTAGCCCTTGGCTATAGAAAACTTAGCTAAGAATGGTAGAAACAATACTTGACATTTTGAAAGAAAAAATAAAGTAACTTGAAAGGTAAAAAGAAAGAAAAACTTTTATAAATATAAAGGAAGAAAGAAACAAGAGTTGAATGAATTTTGAATGAAAATCGATGTTTAGAGGCTTACCCCAATGGGGTATTTATAGTCCTAAAAAAATCTAGAAAATAATATTCAAAACAAAAGATAATCCTTAAAGATAATTCCTAAAAATAAAAATAAGATAAATCCTAATTTAGAATTAAAATACGGCTAAGTCTCCTTCTCCACGTCACCTGCCACATCATTGCCACATCATCCACTGACTAGATGTTATGTCGGGTGTGTCATATCCCAAGTCGTGTCCACTAATTTAGCCATGAATCTAAAAAAATAAAAAATTACACGATTTCGTTGTCCTTAGCATAATTTTTGAAATTCAATATTTTGTATCGAAAATGAATTAAAATGCCCAAGTTAACAACTACAATTATATGAAAAGGTCCAAGTTAACAACTAAAATTACTTAATCAAGGAGTAATTAATTATAAAATAATGTATAATTTAAACACTAATCAAAGAGTTCAAAATAAATAGTTCTCGAGCTCTGATATTATTCTATTTTATCTGCCGTCAATTGGTCCAACTTGGGATTGGCTTCTATGGTAGTTCAAAATAAATAGTTCTCGAACTCTGACATTATTCTATTTTATCAACCGTCAATTGGTCCAACTTGGAATTGGCTTCTATGGTAGATATTTTCTCTATAACCTAGTTATATCATACTTGGGTACTTTCTCACCACTTTTACGTTTCACATTTATCAATCTATATATTCAGAGGACATTAAGTTCTTGTATCAGCCAATGATATGGGGAAACTTGTCAAGTAAACATTAATTATGGAGTCTCGCATTTGACAATTATTGCTCAACTTATGAGCATCAAATCAAAGTCATTTATCTGCAACTAGAGGAATTGATAATACTTTTACTAGTTCAAGCCATGATCAACCAGTACCCACGGATGAAAAAAACATAATTAAAACCTTCAAAATGGTTGAAACTCAAATCAAATTTGCCCTTAAATTTCGAAGCTACTTCACAACTCACTGTGTAGAAATCAGAAAAGAAATATGCCCAGCATCTACCCTGTTTTCCCTAATAATACAATGATGGTGAATTACAAAACAGTAAAAGCAAATCTAATTAGATTTACCTTTGATATCAGAATAGTGATTCAATTTGTGGATATTTCCGGAATTGTTGTATCGTAGATTTAAAAACAAAAATGTTTTAACATACTTCATCGATTTACACTCTCACCGCCATCATCATCTTCTAGTCTGCTCCGGCCGAAAAAAATATCACCACCACCACCATCTGCATCCTCCTAGGGTAACAAGAACTTACAGTTGCATTGGGAACATTGAATTCATATTTGAGAAAAGAAATGATTCGAATGATTTGATTTTAATTGAATTTATATTTTTCTTTGAATAATGATTGAATATATTTGGCCAAAATTATTGGATCAGGGAAAAAATATCATTGAAATATCATGTTCGTGTGAGAAATCACTTCCTTTTATTCCCTTTGGTTAGATTTTTGCACAGTTTTGCATATAATACAAGCTCAAAGTCCCAAACACAATATGGTAGATAGTTTGTCCTCAGGAAGTGGAGAGCTTGAAATAGAAGCGAAGCTAGCTACTAGCTAGTACCCAAATTACCATTTTCCAAGAATGGATATGAACTCATTTTATCCAATGACGGGGATGATGATGAGGTCGAGAACGAATGCACAAAGGCATCAAATCCCTCTGCGCCCCCATCAAATGCAGCTGGTGGCATCAAATTTTCTGGTAAGTCGACCTCTCCATCAAGATACCTTACTAACTGCCTCATGCTTGGCCGTTCCGCAGGCACGTCATTTGAACAAATTAGGCCTAACTTAAGCACCACCATCATCTCACCTTCATCATATTGGCCATTGAGCCTAGTGTCTACCACATCAAGGACCTTACCTTGCGTAAACTTCTCCAGTACCCAATCAACCAACACTAATTCCTCAGGCAATGCTTTGAGATCAACAGGCCTGCGCCCACAAGCAACCTCGAGCAAGAGTGCACCAAAAGCATAGACATCGGAGTTTGTTGTGGCCTTTCCTGTCTTGGGCAGCTCCGGTGCTATATATCCCATTGTGCCTACAATTCGACTTGTCCCTGGATTTGAACCATGTTCATACAATCTTGCAAGGCCGAAATCTCCTAACCGTGCATTCAGTTCATCATCTAATAATACATTACTAGCCTTAACATCCCTATGAATCGCAATTTGTTCATATCCTTCGTGTAAATAGAGAAGACCAGAAGCCACACCCTTTATGATCCTAAATCTCTGGTCCCAATTCAGGATAGATTTAGGGTCATCAAACAAAAACTTATCTAAACTTCCATTAGCCATGAAATCGTAAACAAGGAGGAGGTCGCCTCTTCTCCTGCACCATCCCAATAGCTGAACCAAATTCCGATGTCGAAGCCTTCCGATACTAGAAATTTCCGAAACAAATTCACGTAAACCTTGTGTTGAATCATGGGAAACTCGCTTGACAGCAACTTGAGTGTTTGAATTTCCAAGTGTTCCTTTGTAAACTCGACCGAAACCGCCCCATCCGAGTAAATTTTTGTCGCTAAAACCGTTGGTTGCTTGCTTGAGTTCTCGGTAAGAGTATCTTTGTGGGCCAATCTCCAGCTCCCAATCTTCAATTACTTCTGCATTCTTGATTTTGATAATGACATAAATTGCAATGGAAAGAGCAATTATGACAACAGCAGATGAAACCGATACACCAACTGTTAACGTTCTATCTTTTTTAGGTGGTCTAGGGAATGAAGGCAAAGACGATAGATCAAGAGCCTGAGCTTGTCCATTGATCTTAAAGCTCCACCCTAAAATATGAGAGCTAGCAAGAACATGGCCTGTTGAAGCTGAGAAACCAACGTACATAAACTCTTGAAGAAACGGCGAGAGATCTACATGAAAAGACAAGAGGGGAGATGTCGGTCTTTTAGAAGTTGGTGCAATCGTTACATTCATGACGTTTTCAACTGAATCGTAATCAATCCAAGCTTGGATTAGTTTCCCACTCTTGAGAGTAAGATTTTGCTTTGAGGAACCAACTTGGGTGTAGTAACCAGCAGAGACTGAAGCATTCGAGTGCAAGCTGTTTATGTCAATACCGACATGGTTGTCGTCCATGTCTCGAAACTCAAATCCTGAACCGTGTCGAACTCAACTGCAACAAGATGGTTCGAGAAGTTACCCATATCGGTCGAGTTGAGGATTCCTAGATACTGATTTGAAGGTGCTCTGCGATCTACAGAAGTGGTGATTGTGAAAGCAAGGCCGTGACCACCAAACCTTCGAAACTCGGGAACTATGGCCAAAACAAACGAGGTTGAAAATGAAAAGATGGGCCATTGGTAGAGTTCTTGAATCTAAATGGAGAGCTATAAAAAGCTTTACCCACTAAACGAGGAGTGTAATTAGTTAAGCGTAAAATGCCATTTTGTTCAATCTGTGACACCCCTGTTAATGTTAAGTTGTTGGGATCGTTCAAGTTTTTGAATCCAGGGAAGAAGAACTCGGTGGGTTGTGAAGTAGAAGGTGAGAATATGAGGAAGAAGAGTTGAGAGAAGTGAGAGGAAATAAGCCATGTTAATGATACCAGAGTGAAATCAAGGCACTTGGATCAAAAAGGATATAAATTCTGGAAAACAATGGTGAGGACTGAGGAAGCAAAAATGTACTTGAGAAGGCTTTGTACATCAACAAGAGGTAGAGTTGAAATCAAATAGTTGTCCAACTTTGACATTATCCTATTCAACCTATATATTCAGAAAACATTTTCTTGTATAAGAAAATGATAGGGGAGACTTTTCAATGAAGTCTGGATTGTACGGATGATACTCTCAGCAGGGTCATAATTATGGACCCTCACCATTGACATTTATATCCATTTTACATGAGGATAAATGTTGTGAAAATGAAACCAATGACCATTGGCAACAGACTGTTCAAAACAGAAATGAGATGAACCTCAATAGTCAATCATCTGTTGGCTGTTTCACATGGCAGATGTGTTTAGTTGGACTTTGTCAAAGTAAAAGTTGGATTCTACGGAGGATAATCTCAGCAGGGTCACAATTATGGAGCCCCAGATTTGACAATTATTGTTTAAAGTTCAAACTATGAGCATCAAATCGAAGTTAAGAGTTACCCAGTAATTCCTTTATGGAAAAATGTAAACTTTGATTTCCAAAATCATTCGAGTAACTTCAGCTACAGAACTAACTTCAGCTAGAGGAAATGATATATAATTTTACAAGCCTAGGGAACTAACTTCAGCTCAAGCCATGATCAACCAATAACTACAGCTGAAAAAAACATTATTAAACCTACGAAATAGTAGAAATTCAGATTGAATCCGCACTTAAATCTCGAAGATACTTCAGAACAACTCACTGTAGAAATCAGAAATGAAAGATGCCTAGAATCTACCCTGGTTTCCCCAATAATGCAATGATTGCTAATTTCATGACAGTAAAAGCAAATCTAATTAGCTTTACCTTGATATTAGAATAATGATTCGATTCGTGCTTCTTCCCAGAAATTGTCGAGTATCATAGATTTAAAAACAATAATATATTGCCATACCTCATGGATTTCCGCTCTCGCTGCCATTATCATCTTCTACTTTGCTCTCATAGAAACTGATGCACCCGCCGCCACTATCATCATTGGGCTTTACCTTTTTTGTGACGGGTGTTGAGCCACTTGGAGCCGGACTTACGGAGTTACGGTTGCGTTGGGGCCGTTGAATTCACATTTGGGACAGGCTTAATGCATCATTTAGTACCTGATTTTGACACTTTTTCTAATGCGGTACTTGTGTTTTTCTTTCCAATTTAGTACATGAATTTGACAGTTTTTTTCATAATGCTGTACCTGTATTTTTT